GTATATGCATTTCATTATATGCAAAATGACATCAAGCGGCAACAGCAGATCTACTCCATCAAGACCAAACATCTCAACTTTATCATATCCATTACATTGCCACGCACTCACATTTTGCATCTGACGTTACAGCTGTCGTTCTGACGTAAATATGAGTTCTACAAAGACGTGAGCACCTTTTATGTCGAAATCAAGTATGCATAGACTGGAAATAGATGATATATAAAGTCTTATACTTTCGGACCTTTTTTTTTTGGCTGATTCGCTCGGCTTGAAATCAGGAAAGCAAAAAAAGGTTGTTCTCAAAGTTGAACGTAGACTTAAAAAGCCAGTGTTGGGTGTAACTAATTACTAAGTAATTAGTTACTGTAATTTAATTACTTTTGCCTTGAAAATGTAAAGTAAGGGATTACTCTTAATTTATCTGTAATTTAATTACAGTTACTTCTGATGTAGGCTAATTGAGGTAAATAGATCAATCCGATCTCACAGCGATTCGTATGCATTTTATGAGGCGTCTAAATATTACGACCGCACTCGTACAAATTTGTACGAATTATTGTAAAATATGTATGAAAAAAGTGTGAAATGTCATGAGATCAATACATTTTGATACATTTAACATCAAAATGTATTGTCTGATGCTAAAAAGTATGTTTTTATAATGTAACCTTCTCCACCTTGGTCAGTTTAAGGATAATTAAGACAATTTTATAGTATTTATTTGAAAGAATTAAAACAGATTCATGTTCATCCTTGTATTATTCAGCTGGTTGAGATTGATATGGGATTTTAGAAGTAATTAGTAATTATAAGTAATTAAATACTTTTTAGAGAGAGTAATTAGTACAGTATTCTAATTACACTATTGAAGAGGTAATTAGTAACTAGTAATTAGAGTAACTTACCCAACACTGTAAAAAGCTTAAAGAATCGAGCACTAAAACTTTCATGGCTTTGGCCGATCTGTACAGTAGTGGCAGGCACATTTACTATGACCCAGAACTGAAGTGACAGACACTGGGATCCGTTTCAAGGACTAACTTCACTGAAGCCATGCTGAGAACACAAAGAATACAGCTAGCATGTCTTGTCTTCTGTTCCCGGAGAATAAAGGATAAATAATTAATCTGCTCTCCGCTTCCACACAGAAGCTTGTTTGCCAACCCCACGCTACACCCGAGCAGGGGAGAAAATGATACGCCGTGCTTGGAAAACACTGGAGTCATTTTACCCCACGCGTTCCAATACACAGAAATATGCGTACGAGCTCTTTTGCAGTGACAAATACAAGACTGTCTTGTTTGCAAAGCCTAACCTTTCCCAAGTGTGTGACGTCCGACATTTATTTCACTAATGTGATTCTCCATCTGGGGGCGTCTTGTAGAGCCAAACTCAGGTCATGTAAACATGCAGACAACATAACAGTGAGTTATGAATATATGATATTTACTTTTTGAGCTAAATCAGTACTGTAGAGATATCAAATAGGTTGAACCTCAAGGTATTGGGCTCCATTTCAAAGCAGAGACAAATGGCACACACAATCATTCTAGGTCCATATTTATCTGGTTAAAGTGAGTAATATTTGGATGTGGGGAAATGTTGAACATGACATGAGTAACAGTGGTTGTTAAGGATTCAGGGAACAGCACACACCGAGATAAATTCACCTGCCTACAACGTCAACATGTGTTTGAACGTGTTTTGACTTACTATACTTACCCTCTGAACATAAAGCCCTCCATTTGCTTTTTATGCCACCCTTTCGATATGTAATGCATTTATCATGTCATTTTAAGTATCTGCCAAACTCTAAACCATATGTGACTATTTTTAACTCAATTTTGGGTCAATTATGGACAATTATAAAAATGCAGTTTAAAAATGTAACCCAACGGCTGGGTTCGTACATTTTTGACCCAAAATTGGGTTAAACCAACCCAGCATTTTTTTAGAGTGTAGTATGATGTGACTAATAAATGAACTATATGTAGGGTCACAGTCTTTTTTACACTCTAATTATACATTTTAGTACTGACATTACTATTGGTTTAGGGTTTGGTTTTGTTAAGAGAGAGTTGCATATAATTATGCTCGATTTATATATAACTATTAAAACTCAAACCGAGTTAAAAGACAATTGAGGCAGCGTGCCACTTTAAAAAAATAAAATAAATCACAGTTCCTGAGAATAAGGAAAAGTAACTCGGAAAAGTGGAACTTCTTCCGCCTGGTTCCGTTCAAACGTGCACCTGCTCTCAACAAAGAACGAGACAAATCACTTACTTCAGTTCCTGACTCGAGAGTTTGCTTATAATTCCGCTTTGGGTACAAAGTCAGCCTTGACTCTTTTCATGTAGGCTAAACATAGTGTGTGTATTCTCCTCTACACACGCGTCTCCAGGCTTCTCCTTCCTATGTAAAGCAGTGTTTACTGTGTGTTAACTGTCTCCGCTCTCATTCAAAAGATCGGGACTGACCTGAGTCAACAGGAGCGGCCGCAAAACCAGGCGCGGATCCGCGGAACGGACTGACAACCACCGAAATCGGTTAGTAGTCTAGTAATAAAAAAAATAAAAATAAATAAAAAATAATAAAAATAAAATAAAAATCGTTCCTAAAAGCGTATAATTTCAACACCAAAACTCAGACATTGAGACATTACACGTGGACTTTGAAAGGTGTTTGAAAAGTTAATTGTTAATATATATATATATATATCACAATTAAAACAATCAATGTGCTTTACAATGTCATTGTGTATACATAATGTACGACGTATAATTATTAATACTTGTTACAATATTTAAAAAAAAAAATGTTTGTTTAATTAATAATAAACATAAGGCTTTATTTTACAGTGTGTCCTTGTTACATACTTACCATAACAGTAAATTATCCAAAATTACAAGCAAGTAACCAAATCTTAATCCTAATCTGTCCGTGAGCACTTAATAAAAATAAATAAATAAATAAATAAAAATGTAATCCTCACTTGTACCCCGAGCGTTTGAACTTTGTATTTTGAGCACTTCTTGTGTTGTTATTGCCTCTTCACAAATGACTTGTTTGATTTAGTCCTCAGATTTGGATAAAAGCGTCTGCTAAATGACTAAATGTAAATGTAAAACCTTTAGGAAGTACATGTTGCTTATTATTACTCAGAACTTAAATATATAATTACACTGTAACAATGACACCTTAAAATAAAGTGTAACCCTTAATTTTAAGGTGTCAGTGTAACAGTGTAATTATGCATTTACGTACTGTGTAGTAATAATTAACAACATACACTGTAAAAAAAATATTGTTTGGTTTAACTTAAAAAAAAAAAAAGTAACCTGGTTGCCTTAAAATTTTAAGTTCATTGAAATGGAAAAATTGAGTTAATACAATGAAGGAGATTAATTTAATCACCAGAAACTCAAAATATTATGTTATCTGAACTACATAAATTATCTCTAAGTTGCTTTGACATAAGAAAAAAAATGTTTTGATTACAATTTTTTTTTACAGTGTATAGGGTTTGGTTTAGGGTTAGTTGTGTGTATAATTTAGTTATCCATGTAACGTGTAAGAAGGACACTACCTTGTTTCTAAAGAAATGTTTATTTTTGTTCTAAACCTAACATGAGAGAGACGTAAAATCAGTTGAGGAGCTCACAATTCCCAGTGTATAATTTGATACGACAAGGAGAGAGGAGTTCTGTCCTCTTCTGTTCCCTCTCCCACGTGAACACAAAGGGCATATCTTCCTGTCACACATCTCTCATCCATCAGTCCTTCCACAGTTTCCACAGGGTTCTCCTGTGTATCCGCCCATGTGCTGAGTCTCAGTTCAAAGTCTGCTAGACTCAGACCCAATGCACCTTACAATTCAAACCGGCTGTCCAATTACAGTCCAGCATCTCTGCCACGGCCACAAGGGACATTTGCACAAAAAAAAAAGTGAAAGGAGGGGGCAGGACACACACCCCTCCCTCCCGTGCCCATTAGAATAGATAGACTATTGCCATTGAGAACTGAGGAGAAAGACAAAAGCCTACCAGAGGACCTGCGCTCTCACTGCTGAGGGCCATTAGAGGTTAGTGAAGCTCAGACTAACCAGCCCGGAGACGGTCCGCTCTTATTGGCTGAGTGATCTGTTTGCTCCTCTTCTTCATTTGATAAAGAAAATGAAACCACCAGGAATCCCTTAGAGACAACAGTAATACAACGCAAGTACACTAACTCATTTAGTTGGTACATGCAGAACTAATATATATTCACTATAAAAATCTTTACGTTTAACATTTAAGCTTGAAATATTTTTTATTTTTATATATATATATATATATATTAGGGCTGTCAAATGATTAATTGCATCCAAAATAAAAGTTTGTGTTTACATAATATATGTGGGTGCACTGTGGATAATTATTTTATATATATAAATACACACACATGCTTTTATATATTTAAGAAATATTTTCATGTGTATACTGTTTATAGATTTATGTATAATTTATATTATATCTAAATATTTTATATATAAATAATATTTTTTATATTTTTTGTAGTATTAACATGCATGTGTGTGTATTTATATGTATACAAATTAATTATACACAGTGCACCCACATATATTATGTAAACAAAACTTTTATTTTGGATGCGATTAATCGCAATTAATCGTTTGACAGCCCTAATACATATATAACCTATATCGATTAATTGAGATTTATCACATCCAATATATATATATATATATATATATATACACAAAAACAAACTTTTGTTTAGTATATATGTCTATATACTAAACAAAGTTTCATGTTAATGCCATTAAGTGATATGACAACACTAAGAGTATATATTTTGAGTAGAAATAACTTCATTTTGCAGGAGAATTGAGGGGTTTTGCCCATTGTGTGTGTGTTTTTTATTTGTGTGTAGAGTTCTGAGAGCATGAGGCATGCTTTCAGAAAATGTGTGTAAATAATGGAAAAAAACTGTAATTAATTAGGAAACAAATTTGATTTCATCTCCACACAAGATAAATGTCTTCATTGCTCAGCTCAATGAACTTTTAATCCAGTTCAATAACAGTGTCACTGTTGCAACGTTCATTAAACATGAATCTGTTCCGGCATAAGCAGCTGCACAGAACTTGATAACAGTGTCCATGTTGCAAAGTCAGCGTCGTTATTCAGCTCAGATTTTGCTCTTATCTAATAGCGTCAGTGCAGTGACACGATTCAAGCACCTTCTTGTCCCGTCTCCGAGTCTGAAGGCCTTTAGGACCCTGAGAATGAGGAGCCCTCGTGTTTCTATAGTAATGGGGATCCCTCCTCCTCCTCATTGTCTCATCGGTAGACCCCCGCTGCCATGTCATCGTGACAAAGCGCTCCCCCAACTCCCCAGGGAAACAGAAAACCCGAGACGTCTGTGGGATATGGATTTATGGGAGGAGGGAAGAGTACAAAGGCTTTCCGGTTGTCGGGAATATTATGACAGCATGAGTGACATCACGGATGGTGTTAAGAGTCTTCATGTTGGGTCAATAACGACATAATTTCTCACGTGAAAGTGCTGCTTCCCTAAGGATAAATACTACGACGCATAACCAACCTTGGATATTTCACTTCTCCTCAGTACGTGATGTCCACTTGAAGAGTTTCTTAAGTGAGACGAGCAGGATGTTGTTCCTCAAGACTTCCGAAACTCTGTCCCAGCGACTCTCCTCCTTCCACAGGCCTTTCCCCCTCTTCTCCGCTCTCCTCTCGGCCCTCATCAAGCGCTTGTAGAGACTCCAGGAGATCCGAGAGTGAGGGTCCAGACCCACGAGAGGAGACGTCCTCGCCAAACCACGCCGCAAAAGTTCCTCATTCACACAAGTGTTAAAGAGTGAGCCCTAGAAGGAAAAACAGCGTAACGTTTAGATGATATATTTCGTCATTTATACAATCATTCGTTTTATTACAAGGTTCCCCACATTTAGTTTTCATTCATGTTTTCCTTATTACTAGATTTTGACCTTTAAAGGTCCAATATGTAAGAATTTTGTAATAAAATATCCAAAAATCACTTGCACAGTGTGATATATTTCCTGCAGTTGTGTACTTACAATATCCCAAAAGTCTCCAAAGTTCTTTTATTTCAGAGAAATTCCCATTTTAAATAAGTGGCCGTCCCGGAAAAAAATGTCGGCTAAAAAAAATCCTCGGCTATCCTCGTTTCCGCTCGTACTGCCATAGCCATGACGTAACCATGGCGACAGACGCGGACAACTGCGTAGTGAGTAACGTTTAGCGGCACCCAGTTCTTGTTTCGTTCAAACCAATGCTGCGTTCAAGTCCTCCTGGGAAGTTCGTACGTACGAGGTGGGAAGTCGTGTTTACGACGTGAGGTGCGTTCAAGTCAGTTTCGTCGGAGCAAAATGGCGGTGTACCTTCTTTTAATGAATTACACGAAAATACAGCAAGGTTTGTTAACTCTGCTAATAAAAAAAATGAAGAACAAAGAATGAGCATCAGGTGTGTTTTTCTTTTTATGTTTTTTATTAGCTTATGAAGCCAATGTAAACTCTATCATTAGGTATAATTTTATTTTTAATTATAATGATATCATATTTTGTGCAGAGAGCTTGCTTTATAAATGAAAAAGCCTTACAATGTCAATGACTAAACATTGAAATTCAATTAAAATGTACCGTCAACAGACGTTGAATGAACGTTTCTCACTGACACGCCCCCAACTCGTACAGATCGGGGCTTAAAGAAAATCCCGAGCTCCCCACTGGTATTTACGACATTGTGGTGGCGTTCAACTCGTAATTACGATCTATACGAGATGACTTGAACACAGCAATAGACCATGGCAAGCAGACTTTGGGAAAAACAAGGAGAACTAAAATGAGGATCAATATCAGTGTGATGTTTTTGAGATGCCGAGAACTAGCGTCCGAGACTGACTTCCACTTGACAGAACTTCACGAGTCACGACTTTACAGCTTTATTAGACAGGTGAGCAAATGTACATAAAACAAATCAATGTTATAACGTTAGCTTGACATAATGAAATGTTTGAATATGGTCAGTATGTTATTCTTATGTTGATCTAGCTGCTAGTTTCGTATAGCAAACGAACTAACACGTAGAACAACATTATAACTCTAACACGCATTTAAATGCCGTTTAGTGTGATAGTGTAACGGTATACCAAGTGGAACAGCGCTGCGTTTCCCTCACAAGTTTAATTCATCTAATAAACTGACCTGTGTGAGTAATCCAGCACTTGCATGTAGTTCAATTTCAATTGGATGAAATTTCCTTATTTCTTTATATCCACGGGACTCGCGTGTGATATATGTATCTTATTAGCAATCGCGACCTGCTTCATACCACTGTAATGTTAAAAAACATGAGTGATTTTACTAATCCTTAAACATTATTAGATCCATCAGCTTGACCGCAAGTCCCATCATTCAGCTCGTCACTGCGTCACATACATACGCCTTTGTTATTGGTGGAAACGGCGCCCTCTTGTGGCCAATAAAGTTACATATTGTAGCTTTAAACCTAATTTTTGACACATTTTTAATGTTTTGGTTTTGTAGAATGTTTTACTTCATTGGAATGGGACGAAACGTGGCACTTGCTATGTAACACACACACACGCAATCATGGACATGATTCAAAAAGGTTAAATGGTCACGACAAAAAAAATATTAAAGGGATACTCCACCCTTTTTTTGTAAATAGGTTCATTTTACGTCTCCCCCAGAGTTAAACTGTTGAGTTTTACCGTTTTTTGAATCGATTCAGCCGATCTCCGGTTCTGGCGGTACCACTATTAGCATAGCTTAGCATACATCACTGAAGTGGAGAAGACCATTAGCGTTTCTCAAAAAACTGACCAAAGAGTTTCGATATTTTTCCTATTTAAAACTTGACTCTTCTGTAGTTACATCGTGCACTAAGACGTAATGATATGACGCGTGCCGTCAAAAAGACGTTTTCCTCCGTTTTTCCTCTCATTTGTCAAGCTAACAACTATCATGGTGGCATCTGACTGTGTGTGTGTGCTGATCTCTCTCACCCTGTTAACTGACACGAGGCAGTGTAGGGTCTGGTTCTGTCGAGCGATCAGTCGGAGCCACAGCGTCTCTGCTGGTTTCAGCTGTTGAGCGATCCAGTCGTGCCCTTCTGAGGTCATCTCCACTCCGGCCAGACGGACGTCCAGGACGCTCACGGACTGCCCTGCTGAAGTCAGGACGAGTCGTCACAAACACTCGACCAACAAGAGCATTTCAAAGCGCGTTTACGATGGGAAAATAGTTTACGGAGCCACTATAAGCACAGATTTAAAGTCCCTCTGTGGTGAAACTCAAGTAACTCCAGTTGTGAAGTAACACATTACTTGTAAATTTACAACAAAATTGTTTAATAAGTAACTCAAGTAACTTTGTTTTTGTCTTTATTGACTGACGGCTTTTCACATTTTGAGATAAATCAGGAGTAAGTGCAGAGGCGTTGTGTGTGTGAACATGATGGTATTTATATGAGCATGCCTTTGCTCACCACATTTACACAACAACAGATTCAGTATTTCTTAATAAAATCATTAAAGTCCCCCTGTGATGAAAATCAAGCTTTTACATCTATGTGGTGTTTTTAATATGCTTAAGACAAACCAAGTGTAAATTCATAAGTCGACAGCATTGCTGAGTATTTTCTGTAGTGAACCAAAGCCAGTCTCAAAAACACGGTTTGAGATCACTGGTGTTTCTGACGTCACAAACGACCTTGTAACCAATCAGATCAACGTGTGATCGTCAACGTGTGGATCTCTGAGCTAAGCGAGTGAGTGGGGGCGGGGCTCATTAGCATATAGAACTGCGTATACTAAATGAGGCAAGGGTGTCGAGTTACATTCAAGATATTTTAAGGTGTGAATAATTCTTTTTCCAGGTAAAAAAAAGCTTAAACATGTAATTTTGATGATCAAAGATGAGTTTTAAGGGATAAAACTATTGACTACATTGGGTCTGAGGGTCTGTTATGTGAGCAAGACTATATGATTTCATGCAACCGTCATTTTGAAATGGCTCCAGTGGGAAGAAAACCGGAAGTGTCGCTTTAAATCATATCGTGGCGTGTTGTGTTTAATGTAGAAATGTGTTATTCTAAAAATGTACATACATTTCTTTCATAGTTTAGACTATACAGTTAAATTTTTAAATACATTTTAAGGAACGAACTATATACATATCCTATATTGGATATTAACATTTAATAGTTTAAATCGCGGCAGCAGCTTCAGGTTGGTACATTTGTTTTCTATCTGTACTTCGGGATTCTTCCCACCGGAGCCTCGCTTTCGATTTCAAAATGGCAGCTGCGTGAAATCAACGCAGGAGAAAGCTAGATAATATGGTACAAGCTCCACGAGGTCAAGCTTAAAACGGCCATCTGTGAATCACAGTGACATTGACAGATATATAATATAATCCCCTTATCCAACGGGTATAGTGTTAGAAAAGGCACATTAAGATCACATCTAAACTCAATTTGAAGGCATGGCTGTTGCATAATTGAATTACACTGACTGCCTCCCTTCACTAACTGGTTTACTGAAATATGATCTTGTAAATGTGCAAATGTTAATAACCCAGCAGCAATTTGATTCAGTTCTGAAACTAAATAAATCGGCATTTTGCAAAATTAGGAGTGAAACATCAGGACGACGGGAGAGAAGAATCTTTTATGCTTCACTGAATGAAGTTAAAAGACTCATAAGATGAATGGGCTTTGATCCTACTTCTACAACAGCAGCAAGAAGACAACAACTTCTCGACATTTTCCGACACAGCAGGAGATACACAATTATGAAAACGGTTTCTAAGAGAAATGGGCTTTTAAAGATTGAGTTATAATTGAGAGCAGCTGTTCAGATGTACGCGGTGGTCCCTGTGACAGCTGTACAATAATTGTGCAGGCCTACTGATAAAACATTTAATTAAAGTGCGTGAGGGGGTCATGTGTGTGTGTGTGTGTGTGTCCCCTTACGTTTAGTTTGGAGACGACTGAGCAAAGGGACATAAATCGGAAGGTGTTCCACTTCAAGCCCGTTCTCGGTGATGTTTCTCAGTCTTCCTCTGATGCTAATGTTCTTCTCAATGAACCGAGCTGGAATATCAGAGGCAGAGGCGAATCTTGTAATCTGCAGAGCGAACACGGGGAAATAAAACATTGATATCATCCATGCAGGGCATTGGGAGCCTCTGCTGGTGAATGGCAGCATAACATCATGATGTAGTTATAATAACTGTCACACTGACAGATGGCATTTTCCCCATTGACAACTATTAAAAGTAGCTGTTTTTTATATCAGAAAAACAATGTCCCAATTACCTGACAGATACCAGTAAATAAATAGTCATGATCAAGATTGGCAAGTCTTCGTCGGTTTCTTGAACATACAATCTATTTGCAAACAGTTCCGGTGTTGTGCCTAATTTCGACCCCCTGCCAAATTATTACCCCCCTCGTTGAAGTCAGTACCTGATTGCCTAATCCCAACCCCGCCCCTAATCTTAACCCCTCCCCCCACAACTAATCCTAAACCTACCAATACTAGGGGGGTAATAATTTGGCGGGGGTCGAAATTCGGCACAACACCGGAAGTAAAAACTCCATTATCATCATAAAGAAATTGATTTTGAATGATAACTTATAAATCTTTGAAGACACAACTGTGACTGTGAGCTACGAGGTTGTTATTTCAGATTATTTTTTAAAAAAATAATCGTGTTTGACAGCGGAATTCCTGGTCAAAAACTACATTACCCACGATGATGTACAATAAATTACACCATTAGAGAGATTTTGAATGATAACTTAAAAGACGTCAACTACTGTCAGCTACGAGGTTGTTATTTCAGTTTATTAAAAAAAAAGTTTGACAGCGGAATTCCTGGTGAAAAACTACATTACCCATGATGCTGTAGAGAGTAAAAAAAGCAACACTCTCCAAAATAGCTCTTTAGCTTACTAAAACCGTTAAGAACACACATGTCCTGTCTTTTTATCTGATTTTCCAAAACTGTTTTGCCTCAAATGTCACTGTTGCCTTGCTTTTGGCTTGCTTAGTTGGGGACATTTAATTATTCAACAATATTATTGATCTGTGAAGCTGCTTTGATACAATCTGTATTGTAAGAAGCGCAGTGAATTGAATTGAAAATCAAAGTTTGTAGTCTTGTGAAAAACATAAGACTTGGCAAGCCTAGTCATGATATATAAAAGTAACTTGTCTTTGTGAGAGCCATATGCCAGACAGGAGAAAGTGTAGCGTTATAAATGTAAATTAAATTAAAATAAATAATCAATTTAAACTTTGCAGGATTTGTTTGAAAAGTGTCCAGGCGTTTTAGCCAATCAGTACAACGGGACACGACGCTCTGCGAACATCAACCAATAGCCTGAGTTTGGGGCGTGGCTACTATTTTTTTTGTTTACAGACAACGCCAATGTCGAGTGTCAGGAAGTGCGTGGAAGAAAAGCGCTGTATGTGCATTACCAGCCTGATGCTCCTCGCTATGATGAGAACCCCAGCGATGCCGAGACATGTGCTGATGTTCTGTTGATGAAATATTCGCATGTCACAAGATTAAACAATATAACACTGTGTCCTGCATTAGCAACAGACATTTATAGCTTGTGGTTTACACTCGATACTTGGACAGTCATATTTCTTCACTATTACAATGAAATCAGATGGCATGTACTGGTCAGATATGCTACTTACCCGGACAATAGTTAAGTTATCGTCTGCAAACTGTGATATATGAGCAATGACATTTTTGGAGGGTTTATTGTCCTCGTTCACGTCTGCAGTATCTGATCCTGACGGCATGTTGTTTATAGAGGAAGAACTACAAACGAAGCCCCGCCCACTGTTAAAGGGTAGCAGCTAGGCCAAAATAGACAAACAAGTTTTTATTTCACATACATACAGAAATCTTCAAATGACTGAACCAAATCTTCATTGTATTTTGTTTGTATGTATAAATGCCTTTATTGTATTTTATTTATTTAATTTTTTACATACTTTGGGAATGTTGATAAAAACGTCCCTTTAAACAGTTTACAAGTATTTACAACAGTCCAAAATCACTGCAACTACCCTCTCTCCTCATTATATGACCTTAAACAATAAAAGAGGATATTTAATGAGCGTTACAAAAATAAAGTGAATGTTTATCGGTACAGTACAGTATTTTAAAGGGATACTTTACTCAAAAATGTTGTTTAAAACTTTCAGCTTTCTTTTTCCGTTAAACACTAGTCAGGTTTGAGGGAAAAGATGAAGATGATTGTCATTTTTGGGTGAACGATTTTCATAAATTGTATATTCACGTCGATCAATGACGAACTTTATTTCATATTTTCCGCTTCACTGCTTAAATATCTAATGGGGCGTTTACACCACTCCATATTCAACTAAAAACTGGAAACTTTAACGCTCATTTACACGACAACGGCTTTTCGGGGTAACTAAATCACACTTTTGACAACGGGTTTTATATGATCGTTTTGAAAACTTTTGTGTAAACTACAAAAACACAAATCTGTACTAAATATAACATCATGCGCATGCTTATTAGTGCATGTGTTTCATTCCGCGAGATTTTTATAACGCTGTCGCCTGAAACGCAAAGGAAATACTTTCCAGTTTTTAGTGCCTCGTTGTCATGTAAACATACCCAAAATAATTTATAGAAAATCTAATGATTCATTTTGTTGCCATGGATTCTGTTAGAGCTAACAAAAATTGTTGTCCCAAAAGTGACCAACTGACCTGTTTTCCCAGGACATGTCCTGTTTTCATATAACAATATAACCATTTTCTATCCATACATGACAGAGGAGGCATAACCTACTTTAAATGTATTGAAATTAATAAGGTATCTTTGAGTAAACTTCGAGTATCATTTGAGTAGGCCCATCTGTTTGCCGGGCCGAGTGTCCTGGTTTTTGGTAATCAAAATATGGTCACCCTACAAAAACTGCATTAAAAGCACTGGCCATAAAAATACCAAACAAAAAAAATATGACTGTATAAGAGAAAGATTTTTTTCCTGGCCTTGCTAAAGTCAGTGATTTATAAACATAACAACACAGTTAACTTAAACTTTTCCATCTCTGTAACAAATTTCAGTAGGACTCCAACAAGTTTCATTAACAATATCGGGTGAAAATTGTGAACATTTCACCTGAAGTGCTCAAATAGAATCAATTCTTTAGGAGAAAAAACACAAAAAAGCTGAAATGTGCATGTAGCAACTGCTTCATCATTCATGTTTGATATCAGAACAACACAGTTTTTGTTGTTGTTGAACCTGCATCATACTAAAACCAAAAATGCACAAGGCACAAGACCTCAAGTATTTGTAAGACAAACGCTTGATTAAATAGGCAACCGAGCAGTGAATGTCATATATATCTACATCTTACATTTGAAATTAAAACAAGTTTTTTTTGTGCATAATGGAATGCATATGCAGCTGATAATTTAATAGTACAGTATATTCATCTGTTTCAGTCCTCAAAGAGTTAAAAGCCGGTCTACAGGCCTGCTGTAGTGTGACAGAAATAAGCAGAGACTCTGAGAGGAGGAAAGAGAGGCCAGGACACGCTTATTTGGCAACCCTGCAGTGCCACGCAGAGGGACTTTCTTCTTGTAACCGCTTCATTTTCTTTCCAAAGAAGATCCACCAGCAGATACCGATCAGAACACACACCACAGACTCAACATAGTAACCGTCCAGTGTCGTCACACACGCGCCGCCCTCTCGGACACAGAGCTGAAGACAATATAAGAACAGGTTAAAAGGTAGAGGCACACTTAAAGGGGCAGTTCAGGATTTTGGACATCGGGTCTGTGTGTTATTATCAGTGGAGACGGTTTTCACAAATTTATTCTAACGCCAGTCGCCAGACTATCGCTGTAATGTCTGTTGAGAGAATAATGTTAGAAATTAAACTACCCAGGCTCACTTGGAAATGAGGTCCGATGTCCAAAATCCTGAACCACCCGTTTAAATACTACGAAATAGCGAACACCTGGAAGTATAAAGATACCGACCCCTGCTTCCTCAGCCGATCCGCACGTCTGACCCGGCGCTCCCTGGCACTCCTTAAAGGTCAGCGGGTCAACCAGCCATAGAGCGAGAGTTGAGGGCCAGTTCCCACCTAGATTCGTCACAGTGTTCAGAAGGGTCATGTAGGTGCCACCTATCACTGGGTCGCTGACCTTGGCATGAAAGGCCATGCAGGCCACATACATGCTGTACAGCGCCACCTAGTGGAGGAAGAGACAATCCAACCCCATTACATTCTAAACAGTCAATGAATCACTTTAATAATATTGCATCATGAAATAAAATGTATATCAATGTATACCAATATAGAATTGTATAGTAAAATATATGTAAATAAATGTATGCATGTATACACATTATAACATTATATTACAGGTTTTCTCTTTATCATTTCATTTTGTAACATTATTTTTTATACATTTATATAAAAAATGTACTGTTATATTATATGATTATAATATAATTATTATAAATAGATTTTTTATTTTATTTATTATTATGTGTAAATATATGCAATTATTATTTTGTATATTTATTATGGTTTCATTATTTTGATACATTTAAATACACAAATATCAAAGTAAATGTGTGTGTATGCGATTTATATATAATTTGATTTGCGAGTTATTATTATGTCATTGTTATATTATATGATTATTAATTATATTGGTAACACTTTACAATCAGGTTTAATTTGTTAAAGGACAACTCCGGCGCAAAATGAACCTTTGATCTAATTACACATTGTTACCTAGTCAACCGTTATCTGAGATTTGTTTTCATGATTGCCGAATGTAAATAGTTTTATCTCTAAAAACAGTTTAGCCTATAACGCTAGTTCAATGCTAGTATATAGGGCATAGAGTAATGACAAATAAAAATCGCTTGTTATTACCACTATACTAGCATTATACTAGCGTTATAGGCTAAACTGTTTTTAGAGATAAAACTATTTACATTCGGCAATCATGAAAACAAATCTCAGATAACGGTTGACTAGGTAACAATGTGTAATTAGACTAAAGGTTCATTTTGCACCGGAGTTGTCCTTTAACATGAACTAACAATGAACAATATTTCTACAGCATTTATTAATCTTAGTTAATATTAATCACATTTCTTGATGAATTTTAAAATCCAACATTGTATCTGTTAACATTTGTGAATGCACTGTGAACTAATATGAAGAATGAAAAGATCCAATTTTATTAACTACCATAACAAATATATTACTCACTGTTAGTTCATGATAGCTAATGCATTAACAAAAGTTAACAAATGAGACTATTGTAAAGTGTTACCATTACATTATTATTTGAACTAATCTTAAAAGCATGATTATAGAGATGCAAAAATGTGTGTGATTTTTCTTGACATTTTGTACAAATTAAAAATAACACTTATTATATTATAGATTTTCTCTTTATTATTATTTAATTTGTATATATATTATTGTTATAAAATTCATTATTATTTATTATAAAAGATTATTCACATTTATTTTTATAGTGCTTTTCACAGCAAAGCTTTACAGGAAATATTACATTTTAGAGTGATCTGCTATCAGAGTTATGTATTTCAGAAATGTACATATACACAAAAAATGTATTAATTTAAACAATGTAATAATTTAAGGCAGAAACAATGAGCTCATCGAAGTAATGCATACTTGTTTGTTAACAAATGATTATAACATTTAAGAAAAATGTAGCATTGGTGCATGTTGATTCAATAAAACTGCTGCTGACACATGCAAGTGAACTAACCTGATGTGCGGCGTAGCTCAGCAGAACAACCGCGTAATAATACAGCGGAAAGCCCTGGTCCTGCCGAACACTCGGGGTCCACCAGACCAGCAGGGCGTACTCTAGACCAATCAGCAGCCTTCGAGGAACACAAGCCACACGATTACTGTTCACACACCGCTTACATCAAGAGTCAATGCATGTGTACATCAGATCCACCCAAACTTTGTCAATTTTTAATTCCACTTTGAAAACGTATCTTTTTTCAATTTAAAAAAAAATAATAATAATTCACCTTAGTTCATAGGTTTTCCATTTTTTTGTTCTTTCTTCATATACTTTGGTCAACACCAGTTGTTTTTAACGTGCTACACACATCCAGTTGTATTGTATTGTGTGGATTGTTAGTACCTGAATGGGAAGGCCTTGTAGAAAACGTCCAGTGGTCGTGGCCCAGCGGTGTATTTGCTGATCACCAGAGGCAGCAGGATCTGCAGAGGCACCATGGGAACTGCCAGCAGGGCCAGTTGCTCTTTAGGAACGCCGGCTTCCACCAGCTTGAGCCCCGTCACAGCGTCCGCTGCAGAGAAACCCATCTGAGAAGAGGCCGAGAGGGACGAGTTAGATCATCCCTGTTTACTGTTATATTTTAATGCACTTTGTAGCATTTTTTATTATATTTTTATCAGCCAATGGAACAGAATTTTGTTCATATGTGCACTCTAAATGACAATAAAAAGCTTTCTATCTATCTATCTATCTATCTATCTATCTATCTATCTATCTATCTATCTATCTATCTATCTATCTATCTATAATTATCTATCTATCTATCTATCTATCTATCTATCTATCTATCTATCTATCTATCTATCTATCTATCTATCTATCTATCTATCTATCTATCTATCCTTATCTATCTGCCTGCCTGTCTATCTACCTGTCTGTCTGTCTATCTATTTATCTGTCTGTCTATCTACCTGTCTGTCTACCCGTCTGTCTATCTATCTATCTATCCTTATCTATCTGCCTGCCTGTCTATCTACCTACCTCTCTCTCTCTGTGTGTGTGTGTGTGTGTGTGTGTGTGTCTGTCTCTCTGTCTACCTACATGTCTGTCTTTTCTAACTACCTACCTGTCTATCTATCTATCAATCTTTCTGTCTGTATGTCTATAAATCTATCTATTTATCTACTTGTCTGTCTGTCTTTCTACCTACCTACCTGTCTGTCTGTCTGTCTATATATCTATCTATTTATCTACCTGCCTGTCTGTCTGTTTGTCTATATTTCTATCTATTTATCTACCTACCTGTCTGTCTGTCTGTCTGTCTATATATCTATCTATCTATCCGTCTGTCTGTATATTATCTACAGTATCTGTCTACCCGTCTGTCTACCTACCTGTCTGTCTGTCTATCTATCTATCTATCTATCTGTCTGTCTGTCTGTATATTATCTACAGTATCTGTCTACCCGTCTGTCTGTCTATCTACCTGTCTGTCTGTCTATATCTATTTATCTATCTGTCTGTCTATCTACCTGTCTGTCTACCCGTCTGTCTATCTATCTATCTATCCTTATCTATCTGCCTGCCTGTCTGTGTGTGTGTCTGTCTGTCTCTCTGTCTACCTACCTGTCTGTCTTTCTACCTACCTACCTATCTATCTATCAATCTTTCTGTCTGTCTATAAATCTATCTATTTATCTACTTGTCTGTCTGTCTTTCTACCTACCTACCTGTCTGTCTGTCTATATATCTATCTATTTATCTACCTACCTGTCTGTCTATCTATCTATTTATCTACCTGTCTGTCTGTCTGTCTGTCTAGCTATCTATCTATCTATCACTAAAACAATCAAAGCTGTTAAAGCAGGGAGATGGCGGACCGCAGTGACATTACCTTAGCAGTTAGCAGTAGAGCACAGAAGGTAAAGACTGTGGGCATTTTAATGATGGACAGCAAGAGTTTGTAAGTCTCCATAACACCCTGCGTCTCCTCTTTAGGCTTCTTCTTGGTGTGATGGTGTCTGACGTTTTCCTTTTTCAGGACAGCGACCAGAGTGGTAGAGACCATGAACACGATCCCCCAGAAAAACAAGAAGTCTGAGACGGAGCAGAACAGAACAAAGTACAAAGTATCAGGAAACCTGCATCTCGACTCACATGATTCATTTATTTTGGCCTGTTTTAATACTGAAAAAAGATAAGGTAGCATATATATATTCACGTTTTTAATGTTTCTATTCAAATATATTGTATTCAGTGTAATGTATTCCTGTGACCAAAGCTGAATTTTCAGTATCATTACTCCAGTCTTCAGTGTCACATGATCCTTCAGAAATCAATCTGATTTGATGCTCAATAAATCTTTCTTATTATAAAGTAAATATTTACTCATCGTCAATGCTGGTTAGGATAAGCATTAGTTCAAGATGTTTAAGGAAACACTGGATTTTTTTTTTTTTTTTAGGATTCTTAAAGTAAAAAAAAAACAGAATTGAATTAAAATATAAATATTTTGTAACAAGTTAAATGTTTTTATTGTCACGTTTGAGCATTTTAATGCATCACAGCTAAATAAAAATATTAATATGTCACTGAAATATTAAAATCCTACTAATCCCAAAACATACATTCTCACACACACACACTAAAATCGTACTAATCCCAAAACACAAAACACACACAAACAATAATGACTATAACATTTGCATATACCTGAGAGCGTTACAATGCCCCGCTCCTGCGGCTCAAACCTCAGATATTTATTGCAGAAATCGGCAGACTCCAGAGCCAGAAACAGCACATTTCCCAGGAAGTATCCGGCCGTCTGACCCACAGAGTTACAGGTGGAAGCATAACCCACATTCTCCCGGGACAGCATCGTAAGAGCCCAGCCGTCGACAGCGATGTCCTGCGTGGCAGCGAGGAACGCCAGCATGAAGAACACAGCGGTCAGCGTGATCACGTCCGGCCCCTTCTGTCCATCCGTCTGAAGCATCGAGTCCACCGCGAACGACAGGTAAAGCATGAAGAGACCCAGCAGGTACTGAGTGGGAACCAGCCACGACTTCCTCCTTCCAAACCGCTTCACGTACAGCGAGTCCACCAGAGGAGCCCAGAACAGCTTCAGACTGAAGGGCCAAAACACAAAGCTAAAGTACGCCTGGTCCTTGTAGCTGACGTTCTTACTCTGCATGATGAGAGGGATGCTCCCGGCCAATCCTAAAGGAATTCCCTGAAGCACATACAGGAATAATAACAGTGCAACATTGCTCAGTTCTCCGTTGATCCCATTAGACGCTTTCGCTTGTCCATCATCCAGGTCTGAGGTTTGAAGAAGGGCCTCCTCGTCATCCTCCATTTCTAGCTTGGACTCTCTTGCACGCATGTCTGAGTTGGACATCGCAGGCTTCCGCTGCCTCCCGTTCTTGTGTGCGACAGATTTAGACGCCTCCATTTTAATCTGCCAGGCATCAATCCAAATATGTCCTTAAAACACCTGCATGTACAAAAAGCAATGAAAACAGTCGTCTGTGAAAAACTACAGATCGACCGATAATCGGTTTTACCGATATTTTTCCCAATATTTCAGCATCTCCCCATAATCGGGCAGCGGTTTTGTAATATCGGATTGCAGGGATAAATGGCAATTGCGTACAAGACCAGCATTAAAGCACAGATATTATTTAAAAAAGATACTTTAGTGACAGTGCACTATATATATATAATTTTTTATATTTTTTATTATTTTTTATATATATATTTTATTTTTTATACATTTATTGCCCTCTTTTTATTGATTGTTTGTTTTGTATACAGGGCGGGAGTGCAGAAATTACAGTATTTAAAAAGTGTTAAACAGTTTGTTATCATTGTTTACAGTTATATAATCATTATAATGGTTAAAAATAGAAAAAAACAACAACAGATAAATAAATATCAGTTCTGTATATCGGTTCTTGGGCACATAAACATGCTAATAATTGGTACTGGTAATAAAATATCAATATCAGTCAATCTCTAGACACACTTTGTTCAGATCAGTGCTGTTGTTATAATGTCAAAAATAGAAATAAACCAAAATATAGGCTAAATAAATATCGGTTCTGTATATCGGTTATCAGGCACATAAACATGGAAAAAATTGGTATCGGTAATAAAATATCAGTCGATCTCTAAAAAAAAAAAAAATTAAACAGCATTAGATCTTATTGAAAGACAAGTGTGCATTTCTCTCTGACATTAAAACACATGAAAGATGATAAATGATTCGTATGTCACGTGACGTAAAGATGAAAAAACATAACATCAGATTCGAGACATTATCGTGCAAGATATTCATTTACAGTGAGTTTGATCATCAGACATACTCAAAACGAGAGGATGAGGTAGCCATGAGATGATAAAGAAGAGGAAGAAATAATCCTGATTCATGGTTACCTTGCACTATGATGACAATCCACATGACAAGCCAAGACATTAATGAATCAATGAACACAATGTTATAAGAATGACGGGAAAACACACTGTTCTGTGACTTCAAATGAGCAGCACTTTACTGAGACAAAAACATACACGAAAATATTACTTGTACCTAGTGTGTACAAGACGCAGGGAAGCGCTGTGAGTACACCTGACTGCTGAAGTGAGGAGGAAGCCGGAGCGGTGCGTCAGTTAAAAGTGTCCGACAGCTTCAGCTGACGTGTCTTACAGCGTTCGTTTTTAGTTCCGCCCGGTTTCATATTATTTACACAGAGAAATAATCCGTCCAAGCATAGATTTCTCAGTTTACCGACACATTAATCTATATTAATATAACAGTGTCGTTGTCGAGTATTACAGTTTCTGTGGTTAATCGACAATGCGAGTTGATATTTACTTCTGAGAAGTTAGTATTATGATGTCTCATCTCATTAGGAAACTTCCCAAAATGTTTCTGTCACTGTAGTGACTTTAATTATGGGTATATATTATGATATATGATGGAGAGCTTTAGCCTTTGTTCTGTTAGTATTTATGTATGTATGTCCGAGCAAATCTAGTTGAAGTATGAAATGTTTACTTTATGGTCCGCACCGCTAACGTGACCGGGTCATTGCCATAGAGACGAAACTACAACACAGGAGTTTGAACGTCCACTCTCGCTGTAAAACTGGTAAGCTTATATTTAATTTACACTTAAAAATACCCTTTTTAAATACCTACCTTTTTTTATTATTAAATTGATCTTTTTTTCATTGAAATGTAATATTGGAAAGATCAGATACAGGAGAAAGCACATCCTCATCCAAGATCAAATAATAAACAGTGCAATTTATTTTAAAAGAAAGTTACATTAAAAAAAAAATGGAGACCAATTCCTGGAAGTTAACGGGTTAAATTATCTGTATTTATACATTCTGGTTAATATTACCACTGGCAATTGCATTTAGTATCTTCTTAAAATCATATTTTAATAACATCAAAACTAAGGAAAATAAAGTTAAACAGCGGCCAATGAAAAAGTATGGTTACTGGCTAACATACTGATGATTCACTGTCCTGCTTTCCGCCTGCAGTCAGTCAGTCATGTCAAATCCCGAGCATCAGTGTGCTAATCCTGGAAATCCAGTGTTCTCCTGCATGGACAAACCAGGATCTCACTCATCAGCTGAAGATCCGGCAATAGCCAGATCTCAGAACCTGATGTTTAAAACTACATCCAGCGACTACGGGGCTCGATCAGCGACGTTTGAATCCTCGCCCTCTTCCTATCACCCCATATCCCAGACCTTCTCACAACACCTCGGATTGTGCGGGATGTATCAGGACAATTCCTTCAACACCAGCTTGGACCACAGCCATGTGTATATCCCAAATGACAAAACTCAAGGGAACTAAGGGGGACAGTGACCAAACACATTTGCATGTCTTATTTGAGTTGTTTTGTTTTTGTAATTGACCTTTTTAACAATGTTTGTCCAGTATTGTGCATGCTTGATGGCTATAATAAATGAAAAGTTACAAGTGTACGAATAAAACATTTCTCCAGCCTTACCAGTCTTTATTTATGGTGTCACATGACTAAGTGAAGCATAAAACTTTACATTTTAATGTAGCATGTGTGTGCATATGTAGGCTATTATATATTTATTAGTGCCGTCAAATCGATTAATCGCATCTAACATAAAAATTTGCAAAAGTATGTGTGTGTATGTACATGCGTATACGATACACACAAGCTGCTTATCAGTCTCTGATGTTGAATGACAAAAACCTTTAGTACATGATAAGTGTATAGTGTATACTGCGTTATTTGGGACACAATTTTTGACATTGAATTGTGTGAACCGACAGTAGCCTATAGAAATACCAGGTTCTCCTGAAACTTTGTAATACTTGGGCCTTGTATAGGTTCATCTTGGATAATTATTGTTAGGATAAATATGCTTGCATATCCATTTCTGTCTATAAATCATTTTTTGTACTGTACACACACTCATAAGACATGTGCTAGTTATTATCCATAAGGAGAATTGCATGTGGTATATTCATGAATGGAGTTGTTTGTCTCTATAGACTATTTTAGCGAACCTGACAGTCTCCTTTCTTTTCTATATGGACTTGTTATTCTATTTGTTGGTTTCAGCCTATGTCCGACATCCAATTTTATCTAACAGAGATCTCTGCATGAAAGAAAGACCCACGACGGCTACTACATTTCTCTCCGAAAATTCAGGATATTAAATTAAATTGAATGTGGAGGATTTTAATTGTGATAAGATGATTGACGGCATATGTACAGGCCAGGGCAAGTAGTATGTTCTTTCACTTAAAATCAGTACATACTTTAGGGCACAAGGAGGCGGTTTTGTGTGGTGTTTTTCCACAAACACACTTCCGGGTTGGCCGAGCTGCTGAGAAATCTGGTTCGCATTTTGCACGAACGTCGTCAAAACACAAACTCTTCAGGGTGTGTCGTCGACTTTCTGCTCTTTTCAGAACAAAATCAACTGTCTGAAAGTGTTCATCAAGTGCAACAGTATATACACAGGACATCGCAAAGCCTATATAAACAGTAAGTGTTTGCTTGATTATTTATGATTGAAGCATAACTAGTACCAGTGATGCATTCAAATACCTCCTCGCTCAAAGACTTGCGGTTGGATATTCAGATTTATTTTCGCTATAAATCCAGTGTTCTGTCATAGAAATACAAATAATATCACGCGCACTGCTCTTATAACTCTTACATGTCTTGTTAACAGTAACTTACAGATGTTACTTAAAATGAAAGTAACTTAAAATTAATCTGCAATAAATCAAATTTTATGGCATTAAACATATATATATTAGGGCTGTGCAAAAATTAATTGCGATTAATCGCATCCAAAATAAAAGTCTGTGTTTACATAATATATTTGCGTGTGCTGTATATAATTATTTTGTATATATAAACACACACACATGCATGTATATATTTAAGAAAATGTGTTATTCATATATAAAATATTTATATTTATATAATATAGATTATGTATTTATAAATATATACAGAATTTAAGCGCAAATAATTCTTCAATATATACATGCATGCATAGGTATTTATATATACAACATAATTATATACAGTACACACAAATATATTATGTAAACACAGACTTTTATTTTGGATGCGATTAATCGCAATTAACTTTTGCACAGCCCTAATATGTATATATATATATATATATATATATATATATATATATATACACACACACACACACACACAAGTAAACAGAAAATGAGTGATTGGAGATGCAAACATAAACACTCCGTTAACGCTTTCCTGATTCAGTTTCTTCACTATTCTGATTTGCGAAATATTTCACAGTACAATTTTTGTTAGTTAAAGGGTTAGTTCACCCAAAAATGAAATGAAATATTTACTCACCCTCAAGTTGTTCCAAACCTCTATGTGTTTATTTGTTCTGCTGAACACAAAGGAAGATATTTGGAAGAATGCTTTAATCAAACAGATCTCATTACCCATTGACTACCATAGTATGTATTTTTTTCCTACTATGGTAGTCAATGGGGAATGAGATCTGTTTGATTAAAACATTCTTCCAAATATCTTCCTATCTTCCATTTTTGGGTGAAGTAACTCTTTAACCCTTTTCCATGTCCTTAACTTCCCTATTCTGATTTGTGAAAGGTTTCAGAATATTTTATGTCAGTTAACCCTTTTCCGTGTCCTTAACTTCCCTATTCTGTTTTGTGAAACGTTTCACAGTACAATTTTGGTCAGACTATACATCTGTTGGAACTCATGATAATAATTATAATAATCTACATTTTCTCTAAAATGAATCTGCAATAAATCAAATTTCATGGCATTGAACATATATATTGTACTTGTAGAATTGCTCACCATGGTTAATAAAAAAAAGGAAGAAGAGAAGAAAAGGAGGAAGACACTGAAAAAGAATTCAGCACGCAAACCTCATTACTGCTCAAAGTGTGGGATGAGCTTCAGTGTGAAAACACGGTTCACGAGACACATGCGCATTCACACCGGAGACAAGCCCTACCAGTGCCAGCACTGTGACATGTGCTTCAGATCACAGGAGAACCTGTCCGAACATGCACGCAAACACACCGACGACAGACCTTATCACTGCTCTCAGTGCGGCAAGGGCTTCGTACGACCGGGAAGACTCGAAATCCACTGGAGAATCCACACTGGAGAAAGGCCACATCACTGCTCTCAGTGTGACAAGAGCTTCAAGAGCACAGAGGAGCTGCAGAGCCACACGCTCACACACGCGGCAGAGAGACGTCACCACTGCTCTCAGTGCGAGCGGAGCTTCAGGAGAAACGGTCAGCTGGTCAGACACATGCGGACACACACCGGGGAGAAACCGTACCGGTGCACGCAGTGTGAGAAGCGCTACTCGCGGGCAGAACACCTCCGGGACCATCAGATCAGAGCTCACCTAAACAACACACACGTCCACTGAGAGTAATGTGCAGCAGACAAAACACACACACGTGAGCCATTCGCCTTTCACGAATCAGAACGCTCTCAGTGCCTGAAACCTTTCACAAATCATAATACACCGCACTCGAGTAGTTCACTTTAAAAAAACTTTTGCTGATAATTTACTCGCCCCCATGTCATCCAAGATGTCCATGTCTTTCTTTCTTCAGTCGAAAAGAAATTAAGGTTTTTGATGAAAACATTCCAGCATTTTGTCCATATAATGGACTTTAATGGGGTCCAAACGGTTCAAGGTCCAAAAGACAGTTTCAGTGCAGCTTCAAAGGGCTTTAAACGATTCCAGACGATGAATAAGGGTCTTATCAAGCGAAACGATCACTCATTTAATAAATAAATAACAAAGTTTAAGTTTTATAAGCTCAAATGCTCGCCTTGCTCTGTTCTGTGATACACGTTCGTGACTCTCCTGTCATTTGGTTCATTCAACGAACGAAATTAACGAATTGACTTGAAAAAAGATTCGTTCATTTTGATGAATGAGTTTGAACAGGAGAAATGACCAATCGTTTCGCTAGATAAGACCCTTACTCGTCGTCTGGTGTCGTTTGAAGCTGCACTGAAACCTGGACCTTGAACCGTTTGGTTCCCATTGAAGTGCATTATATTGAGAAAAATCCTAGAATGATTTCATTAAAAATTTCTTTTCGACGGAAGAAAAAATGACATGGACATCATGGATGAGTAAATTATCAGCAGAAGTTTTTAAAAGTGAACTTCTCCTTTAAATGTTATTAAAACATGGGGAGGCAAACTGTTGACTAGCACACTTGTTCTTATTTCCTATTTTTCTACAGATGGCACATTGGAAAAGCTTAAATGAGGACGTGGGTGACGAGTGGTGGGACACGGCATACAAGTTGTTTCTTGAAAGCGATCCAAAAGCGAGGATTTTGAGTCATTCTAAATTATATATGAAGAATAATAATTGGAATGATTATGGATTCTGCAACGACACACTGGTTCCTCCAACTGGGATGTTCCGTGATGTCTCCAAAAGGGCCATTTTGGTGGTGATTTCAAGAGCAAGGAAAATTCATTGGAAGGTGTGGAAGGATCTAGATCAGCCATCTTCTACACCCGATGTACCGGATCTGGACGAAAATGACAAGAAACTTATAAACTGTGTTATTAACCTGATTTATAGAGAGGACGGCAGCCCAAGACCATTTAATATTTGAACACTATTGATCGATACTGTACGTCTGAACTAAATTAAGAGTAATTTGAAAGTGCCTCATTCCGGCCTTTATTAGCAATTTAATGAATCAGCCCTGATCCTGGGTATAGAATATATATAGTAAGAATATGAGAAGAGTCTTTGGCTTTAGCCAATAGGAGCATACATTACATCATATAGAAAACATTGTATAACAAGTCCATATGCGGCCGGCGAGATCTTCTCCACACATACATTTGAACCTAGAAAAGCCCTTAAATATAATGAACAACAGATGTTCCCAGTGCACTTATATAGCACGCTTATACACTATGCAAGACAGTTAAACTAGAACTAATTAAGTGTTTTCTGTAGAATGGTGTGTTAACATACTAAGTTAATAACAAATGATCTTTGCAACAAAGTGAATCAATCAAAACTTTGCTTTTTGCAGGACAATAACTTTATTCTAGAGCTGCTGTAAAGCCTAAACAATGTTACCGTACTTTAATTTCCTATTTTTACTATAAAGCTACTTTGTTAAAGTTTGCATCACTATAATAGTGCGTATGGTTATTCTGTTGCGTCTTCTAATTGAAAAACATTGAATATACGAGATGGTATCATTTTTTGTATAAGAAAAATGTCTTCTTTTCCTTTTATTTTTCTTCATATTATGTATCCATCAGTTACTCATATACTTTTCATTTGCATCCATAGACTATTAACTCGAGATTAAGGTCTTGTTTTGTTGTTATATACAGCAAATTATGTCCAGTATTGTGCATATTTGTTGCAATAAACAGTTATTGGGAAGATTGTCAAAATTATGAGTGTGAATAAAACCATTTCTTTGGGCTAACCAGTCTTTCTGTGTGGTTTCATATTAAAAACAGAACATGTTTATGTAGATGTGCATTGATTAGAACTGCACCGATAATCGTGGATGTTCAGGAGCTGGATGGAGACGTGCTGCCCTGTATGATCTCCCGAATCTTGTCTGTATCGGTTCGCAGGGCTTCATTTCGTGGGTCGATTTCTAGAGCCGCTTGATAATCCAGAAGACCTAAAAACATCAGATTGGTTTAATAGTGCAATACTTCATAGATGTTTCACTCCCACAAGTTTATGCAGAAATTAAGAATGCATTTTGAAATTTAAATCCTGAGTTTGAATCAAATTTGCAAAAAGGATGCAGAATTTAAATTTAATTTGAACTAAAATCTTTAAAAAAGAACTTTCCATAACCTAAAAGTAATTTTATAAGTAAGATTTTACTTCAAAATAAATGTATGTAAAATTCTGAGAAGTACAGAGAACCCAGAATGCTCTAATTTACATGTGTATATATATATATATATATATATATATATATATATATATATATATATGAAGAGTTCAGATGCAAAAGCCTCTAAGTGCCATTTGAAATTTTCTTCTAAAATGATCATTTTTATCAAGCTTGTATATTTAAGTTCAGTGATTTCACTTAAATGGCAATGATAATTACCTATTAATTGTCATGTAAGTGTCATTTAATAACTTTAATATACAAGTTTGATAAAAATCATTAAAGAAGAACATTTCAAATGGCATTTAGAGGCTTTTGCATCTGAACTCTTCATATATAAGTGAAGTCTTATTTTGATTAAGATTTATTCTGATATCAAAGATCATATTTTGTTCATCTGAATAGTGTAATTAATGATGGATGTGCAAATTACTTTGGACAGCACTGAACAGACTCTACTATCATCATGAACAGAGGCCATGAAATGACTGGAATCCGTCATTTAAATTCAGATTTTTTTTCTCTATCAGCTGGTCAAAGTGATTTCAGTGCATAGATTTATCACACATTTACATAGGTAACAGTATGTTTATGACTGCAGAGATATGAACAGAGAAAGCAGAACATGCTCCAGTACCTTCCACGTAGAGCTGAAGTTCACAGAACGCTGTTCCTCGCCTCACGTGAGCCTTCAGTCGAGCAGCAGCGTTCGCAGCGACCGCAGGCGTCAGCAGCTCAAGCGCCTGAGAAAGACTGAGCCAAATCAGTCCTATGAAGCTGTCTATGAAGAATATGTCATTTAAAAGAGGAAAAACTGACCTGAGAGCTGTCCTCAATGGCTTTGTGCAGATTTCTCAGTTTGAGATGACAGGCCGCTCGATTAGAAAATAAAGCCGGGATCTTCCGGTTGAGTTTTATGCCGAGATTATAGGCGTTGACAGCGGCCTGGAAGTTTCCTGCCATGAACAATTTACTGCAAAAACAGAAAAGACAAAGTAGGTGATTGTGGTATTTAAAACTATCTTTCTTTAAAACAAATAACTCTTTTGACATTTCCATTCATCAAAGTATCTTGAAGAAAAAATTCAACATTTATAATAAGTATAAATGTTTCTTGAGCATCACATCATCATATTAGAGTAATTTCTGAAGGATCATGTGACACTGAAGACTGGAGTAATGATGCTGAACATTCAGCTTTGATCACAGGAATAAATTACACTTTACTATATATTACAATTGAGAACAGTTCTTTTGAACAGTAATAATATTTCACTGTTTTTATTGATTTTTTTTTATCAAATAAATTAAGCCTTGGTGACTTCTTACGAGTGCATCATCTTACTGACTCTAAACTTGTGATCAGTAGTGTATATATAAAACCAAATAAACTGATTGAAGACAATTATCTGTTGATTTATGATCTGTTTGGTCTGTGACCCCTCTGAGTGTGACCTGTGAAACTCACTCGCCCTTCTCCTTCAGCCAGTCTGGGTTTCTCTCTTCCTCGTTCAGGTCTTCCAGCTCAGCCAGATCCGTGTCCACTGCTCTCCTGGCCTCCGCCTGCTTCTTCAACCACTACACACACACACACACACATGGATATGATATGTGTATTAGGGATGCATCGATATGAAAATTTTGGCCGATACTAAAAACTGATTGTTGATATAATTTTTAAGAGCCTCATTACAAAAGCCATGTCACAAACACACAATTATCATGTTTTTATTACAATTTTATGTTGCTTATATGACAGACTTGCTGCACATGCACTGAACTGTATTTTTCCTTTTTTACAATCATATTTCAAGCAATTCAAAAGCATCATGTTGGACAGTGTGCATCTGAAGTCTCTCAGCTGAAGCAAATAATCCATCATTTATTGGCTTTAATATATCGGCCAAATTTTCTTATCAGGCCGATAATGATAACATTAAAGGGTTAGTTCACCCAAAAATGAAAATTAAGTCATTAATTACTCACCCCCATGCTGTACCAACCCCGTAAGACCTTCGTTCGTCTTCGGAACACAAATGAAGATATTTTTGATTAAATTTGAGAGCTGTATAACTACCACATTGGCTCCTAAAGGACTGCCTCTTGACGGCCCAGAAAGTCAATGAAGAAAATGTTTAAATATCCCAAGTGACTACCGTGGCTCAACTATATGTTTATCAAGCGACGCGAATACTTTTTGTGCGAAAAAACAAACAAAAATAACGAGTTTATTCGACTATTTCTTTTCTTCCTTGTAGGCCAGAACGAGACTTCCTTAGATTTCCACGACGCATGCGCGAGATTTGCGATCTAAGCTGGTGTAAGCTGGTGTGAGCAGATCGCAATTCTCGCGCATGCGTCGTGGAAATCTATAAGGAAGTCTCGTTCTGGCCTACAAGGAAGAAAAGAAATAGTCGAATGAACTCGTTATTTTTGTTTGTTTTTTCGCACAAAAAGTATTCGCGTCGCTTGATAAACATATAGTTGAGCCACGGTAGTCACTTGGGATATTTAAACATTTTCTTCATTGACTTTTTGGGCCGTCAAGAGGCAGTCCCTTAGGAGCCAATGTGGTAGTTATACAGCTCTCAAATTTAATCAAAAATATCTTCATTTGTGTTCCGAAGACGAACGAAGGTCTTACGGGGTTGGTACAGCATGGGGGTGAGTAATTAATGACTTAATTTTCATTTTTGGGTGAACTAACCCTTTAAAAAGGAGTAGTTCGCTTTTTAAAAAAACTTTTACTGATAATTAAATTTACTCACCCCCATGTTATCCAAGATGTCCATGTCATTATTTCTTCAGTTGAAAAGAAATTAAGGTTTTTGATGAAAACATTCCAAGATTTTCTCCAAAAAATGGACTTCAATGGGAACCAAACGGTTCAAGGTCCAAACGAGAGTTTCAGTGCTAACTGCAAACTATTCAAAGGGCTTTAAATGATTCCAGACGATGAATATGGGTCTTATCAAGCAAAAAGATCGCTCATTTAATAAATAAATAACAAAGTTTAAGTTTTATAAGCTCAAATGCTGTTCTGTGATGCGCATTCGTGACTCTCCTGTTCGAACTCATTTATCAAAATGAACGAATCTTTTCCCGAGTCAACTCATTCATTTTGTTCGTGGAAAGAACCAAATGACGCGAAAAAAGATTCGTTCATTTTTGATAAATGAGTTCGAACAGGAGAGTCACAAACGAGCTTCACAGAACAGAGCAAGGCGAACATTTGAGCTTATAAAACTTAAACTTTGTGGTTGTTGTTTTTTAAATGAGCAATCATTTCACTTGATAAGACCATTATTCATCATCTGGAATCGTTTAAAGCCCTTTGAACAGTTTGCAGTTTGTACTGAAACTCTCATTTGGACCTTGAACAGTTTGGACCCCATTGAAGTCCATTATATGGAGAAAATCCTGGAATGTTTTCACCAAAAACCTTGATTTCTTTTCGACTGAAGAAAGAAAGACATGGACATCTTGAACTACTCCTTTAAGAATGAATCAATATTGGCCGATACCGTCATGGTGGCCGATATATCGTTGGTCCCTAATGTGTGTGATCCTCAACATTACTAAATGGATGTAGTGCTAATCTCTAGATCTGACCTCTTCCTCCTCCGGGACGCGAGACTCTCTGAGCGCGGTGGGAAACACTCGTGGAGTGAAGCTGATCTTAATACAGCCAGCTGATCTGGGAACAGGCAGATCTTTTGGCTTCGGTTTGATGCTTCTCTGCCCTAGCAAGAAATATGGCAAATATATTGTGACTTCTGCTTTCTGATACGAAGAGCCAAACATCACGACAGCGCCTGAGAAGAACAGTGTAACATTCTCACCAGATGTAGTGTTGCTGTGATTGTGCAGTGGTGTGATCGCAGGTGGAACGTTTGCACGCTCTGTTTTCTGATAAACCGGTTTGTTGTCGTGCTTGCCGGATCCTTGCAGCCTTTGCCGGTTCTCCTTTTCTTCTGCGTTTTTTCTCTGTGTTTCTCTCCAGAAATCCAGTTCGGCCGTGGCTCTCGCACACTCTTCATCCTTCATCTTCTGGATCCTGTCCCGCTCCTCGTCCTCAAGCTGAAACACAGGCAGAGAATTCAGTGAACTACATTACCATTTACATGAGAAAAAGCTCTGTGCAAAATCATATACAGAAAATAAACTGCATATATGCATTCATTCAAAATAGGGTAGATAAAAAATACACTAAATCAATAATTTATACATACTGGTAGTATTTGTTGTGCATCCTTTAATAATTTATTATGATTATTAAACAAAAGACAAACTCACACTGCCTATCATTGTAGTACAGTATTAATCATTTAATGAGAATCATAATTAGGGGGGAATGTGCATGAAATGAATCTTCATTTATCATTGATTTAATAATTCTTTATGCAAAATATAAAATAAGATTAAAATGAAGTTAGGTTAAACACTGGAACTGTATATTCTGACATATCAAGAAAGCCATAAAATCAGTAAATCTGAGAGCAAAACTGAATCTCGACCTTCATCATGGTTTCCAGCGCATATTTCTTCTCCTGCTGAATCCTGGAGGCTTTGGCTTTAGACTTTTCTGCTTCTTTCTCCTGAACTTTGAGAATTGCTCGTTCTCTAATCTCCTTCTGTTTCTCTTTATCTGTGGAACAAAAATATACGCTTTTATAATAAGTGTATGTCTCAAATACAACCCCATTAAAAAGAAGTATACTTCAAGTTCATTTTATTAAGTACCTAAGTAAAGTTCAAGTATATTTTAAGAATATGTAGTAAGTACACTAATATCAATGTACTATTCAAATACTACTACATACAATACTACTTATTATACTAGCCTACTACTAATATTTTTGTTGTATGAATAAAATGAATGTCTGTGTTTAAAAATATTCACATACTCAGAATAAGGAAAATATCTGTTTTGATTATAAATTAATATTTTCAAACAATGTAAGACAGTGTGTAAAACTATGTGAAAAAATATTTAAAAGGCTAAGTTATTCAATCAAAAGAGTAAACACAACTACAAGCCAAGTATACTTAGAAGAATACTTCATTTATATTTTATCAAAGCATATCTAGATCAAAAGATTGAGTAACTTACACTATAGGCCAAGTATACTTAGACTTTCTGTCAGTAAAGTCAAGTAGGCTAACTTATACGTACTGTAAATGTACTTTTATGTATTTCTGAGAAGTACATAAAAAGTACACTTTCTTATTTTTAGTGTAAAAGAAGTTTACTAATGGAGTATAATTCTATGTAACGTTAATGAATGAAAGATCTCCTACCAATGTTTGTAAAGAGCTGCTCCCAGAATGCATCTCTCCTCTTCTGCAGTGTGAAAACAGCAACGCCGTTTCCAATCCTGGCTTCACTTTTCTCCTCATTTATTGACTCAAATAAGAAAACTTCGAGCAGAAACGGGGGGAAGCTCACCTGTACAACAGTTCAAAACACACGAATCAAGTGAATGATACCGTCGCGTGTTTCTCCAGTCACACATATCATGACTATGGCACTTTAAAGTTACACATTCTATGTAATGCTGACCTTCAGATACTCATCCGTGCAGATGACATGGACGTTAGTGGTCTTCACTCCTTTTAAAGGGACGCTGATGTAAACTGTGTTCTGGTTTTGTGTCCATGTGTGGTCTCTCACTATCAGCGGCATGTCTAACTGACTATCCTGAGCGACACGTAAACACTGGTTGCTACGACGTGGCTAAGGTTGCCAAGGGGCGGTCGATGCGGTCTGTCATTTCGGTTTCCACCAGTCGCTTTCGCCGTCCGCCATATTGGAACGGTCAAAGCCTTTCTGTGAACAATCGAGAGCAAGCGAGTTGCAGAGACCGACACATGTATGAATATTTGGAAAAGACTTGAGCAGAGGATTTTGCTAAACTAACAGAAAAAACATGACATTAAAAGACAAAACATGACATTAAAAAATTACCATTGTAAAACCCTATAATATTGGATAACACATAAAACACAAATCAACACAATGGTATGCTATTTCTTCGGGAATTTAAATCTCAGCAGTTTCACAATCACGACCAATGTTGAGGCATCTTTGTTTCTCGGCGTTTCCCCTCAAAATCAATCTTTATCATACCTAATCATACATGAAATAAAGTAGACAGAATATTTCCATTTCTGTCACAACTCATTTTATGTTGGGTCATACTCTGTGCATAATAATTTGCTACTGTGAGACATGTTAACATTATCACATGTTTTAGATAAAAACATAATTCAAAACTCAGTAAAATTGTCTGCATTGGGGAAAATTCTTTGTAAAATCAGTTTTATTAAACACAGTTCAAATAACACATTTGAATAATGGCTTTTCCAAGGTTTTTCTATTTAACAATTTTCTATTCTCTTTTTTCATAACACACAAGAGAACTTTAAATTACATTCAATAAAATGTATGTGCTGTGCCAGCTCGGTTTTGAGGATGCCACAAATCTATACACTTCATATTGTTAATTGTTGGCTACATACATTCATTGTCCCGTTATAAAATAAGTTCCATTCAAATATTCTCATCTCATATTGATAATTGGGTAAATGATTCACTGCACAATGCCATCAGCTCAAGATCTACGTATCTATTAAAACACATTTAAGGCACCAGGGGTCAACAGTCAACTCTGGCCATTTATACAAAAATTGTTTCTACATTATTTTGTCTTTATAGACACATTATTACTGCACAAATCAATTGAAGTCAGATCAGCACTAGTTGCATGAAGTTTACATTCACGATGCCAAAATGTTTCCCAGGTCAATGCAAGACAACATCCTCTGAGGAGTAACGCATGCAAAACAATATGTTATCCAAACTGAGGTCAACATGAATGTCACTGCATCATAAAACTTTTATAAATTAAAAAAAGTCCAAAATAAAAAGAATGCATTTGAGATTATGGGCAAATCTAAAAAAAAACAAAAACATTTCTAGACATTTACTTTTTAGAGTTTCTTCTAATTCTCATGATTATCAAAAGCACTTACCATCATCATACAGTATTACAATCTTAATTTTCGTTAAGCAAAATATAATTTCTTATTTATCTATTTTGTGACCTGCACATAATTCGTGAGATTCACCAATAACCACTGCATCATTAAATCAAGATAATTTTGGGAGATAACTGGTTAAAAGGACTGATGCACAAAGTATTTTTGTCAATATAAATATATGTTTTGTGCTATGTAATGCATCATGCCCGGAAATAAGGCCTTCAAGTAACAAATCCTCCTCCGTTTTGGCCAAAATAAAAAAGTCAATCAACCCAGTAAAGAAAGCGTCCAATAACAAAACTTACAAAAGTATCATCAAGTGCATCCAAAGTTTGTGTCCAAATGTCAACTTGTTCTCTGGCTCTCAAGATTTTCACTTCATTTGATCATAAAACAATCAAAGAGCCAAGCTGGTATACAGTAATAAGAAGGAATATTGCCAAGCAAAACCCATCACAACCAGTAATATTGCTAAACTACATGCCGCTAAAGTGAAACAAGACGCGTGATGATTCTCATCAGAAAAAATGCTACAGTAAATATTCTTCAGCTTCATTCAATGGGAAAGGCCCAATCATGATAATTATTAAATGATCAGCATCTACAAAATCACGTATTGCTCGAGTTTAGATTTAACAGTAGAAGATCTTTCTGGATTAATAAAATGCTGCTTGTGAAACCTGAAATCTGACTGTTAGAGTTGCAGTTGTAAAACTCAGACATTAAATGACAGTTTTTTCACACATTAATCAAAGCGAGCCAGAGGAAGACGTCTGAGCGTGAACAATCACTGAAACGAAGATAAGCACAGGCATTAGAGACATAAGACGTCTACACAAATTCAGTCCAAAACAATTACACTACTGTTCAAAAGACTGGGGTTAGTACGATTTTCTTTTCTTTCGAAAGATATAATAGTTTTATTCAGCAAGGACATATTAAATTAATCAAAAGTGACATTTATAATGTAACAAAATATTTGAGTTTCGATCAAATGTTGATCTTTTGAGCTGTTTTCAACACTGATAATAATCATATATGTTTCTTGAGCATCAGATCATCATATTAGAGTGATTTCTGAAGGATCATGTGACTCTGAAGACTGAAGTAAAGATGCTGAAAATTCAGCTTTGATCACAGGAATAAATTATATTTTAACATATATTCACATAGAAAACAGATATTTGAAATTGTAATATATATATATATATTTTTTTTTTTTTACTGTATTTTTATAATCAAATAAATGCAGCCTTGGTGAGCAGAAGAAACTTCTGACAGAAACATACCCCCAAAATTTGTACAGTAGTGTATATTTCAAAAATGATTTCAAATAATTTAATAACCTTCGAGATGTTCCCCTATGACTTTCTCCTTTGTGATTCACTGAAAAAAAAAAAAAAAGGAAATAGGTCCATTTTTAACAATAGCGATATATCAGCCACCATGTCGGTATCAGCCGATATATGTCCATTTTTAATGTTATCATTATTGGGCCGATAAGAAAATTTGGCCGATATATTAAAAAACGACCAGTAATGTATTATTTCCTGCAGCTGAGACACTTCAGATGCGCACTGTTCAACAATGATTTCGAATTGATTGAAATATGATTAGAATCACTTTTAAAAGGAAAATACAATTAAGTGCAACGTGTCATATCGGCTTAATAAAATTACAGTGAGAACATTATAATTGTGTGTTTGGGACATGACTTTTACTGGTGAGACTTTCACAAATTATATGAAAAATTTGTATTTAGATTTAACGGCCAATATATCGGTTATCGACACTCAAATATAAAGAATTACCGGTTATCGGTATCGGCCAAAATGTTCATATCGGTTCGTAAAATTACAGTGAGAACATTATAACTGTGTGTTTGGGACATGACTTTTACTGGTGAGACTTTCAAAAATGATAGAAAAATTTGTATTTAGATTTATCGGCCAATATATCGGTCATCGGCATTCAAATATAAAGAGTTATCGGTCATCGGCCAAAATGTTCATATCGGTTCACAAAAAAAATTACAGTGAGAACATTATAATTGTGTGTTTGGGACATGACTTTTACTGGTGAGACTTTCACAAATTATATAAAAATTTGAATTTAGATTTAACGGCCAATATATCGGTTATCGGCACTCAAATATTGAGAATTACCGGTTATTGGTATCGGCCAAAATGTTCATATCGGTTCGTAAAATTACAGTGAGAACATTATAATTGTGTGTTTGGGACATGACTTTTACTGGTGAGACTTTCAAAAATGATATAAAAATTTGTATTTAGATTTATCGGCCAATATATCGGTTATCGGCTTTCAAATATAAAGAGTTATCGGTTATCGGCATCGGCCAAAATGTTCATATCGGTTCGTAAAATTACAGTGAGAACATTATAATTGTGTGTTTGGGACATGAATTTTACTGGTGAGACTTTCATAAATTATATAAAAATTTGAATTTAGATTTAATGGGCAATATATCGGTTATCGGCACTCAAATATAAAGAGTTATCGGTGATTGGCCAAAATGTTCATATCGGTTCATAAAATTACAGTGAGAACATTATAATTGTGTGTTCGGGACATGACTTTTACTGGTGAGACTTTCACAAATTATATAAAAATTTGTGTTTAGATTTATCGGCCAATATATCGGTTATCGGCTTTCAAATATAAAGAGTTATCGGTTATCGGCATCGGCCAAAATGTTCATATCGGTTCGTAAAATTACAGTGAGAACATTATAATTGTGTGTTTGGGACATGAATTTTACTGGTGAGACTTTCATAAATTATATAAAAATTTGAATTTAGATTTAATGGGCAATATATCGGTTATCGGCACTCAAATATAAAGAGTTATCGGTGATCGGCCAAAATGTTCATATCGGTTCGTAAAATTACAGTGAGAACATTATAATTGTGTGTTTGGGACATGAATTTTACTGGTGAGACTTTCATAAATTATATAAAAATTTGTGTTTAGATTTATCGGCCAATATATCGGTTATCGGCACTCAAATATAAAGAATTACCGGTTATCGGTATCGCCCAAAATGTTGATATCGGTTCGTAAAATTACAGTAAGAACATTATAATTGTGTGTTTGGGATATGAATTTTACTGGTGAGACTTTCACAAATAATATAAAAATTTGAATTTAGATTTAACGGCCAATATATCGGTTATCGGCACTCAAATATAAAGAATTACCGGTTATCGGTATCGCCCAAAATGTTGATATCGGTTCGTAAAATTACAGTGAGAACATTATAATTGTGTGTTTGGGATATTAATTTTACTGGTGAGACTTTCACAAATAATATAAAAATTTGAATTTAGATTTAACGGCCAATATATCGGTTATCGGCACTCAAATATAAAGAATTATTGGTTATCTGTATCGGCCCAAATGTTCATATCGGTGCATCCCCTAAAAAGGAAGACGAGTAAATTCTAACAGAACTTTTATTTTGGGAGCCCAAAGAACTTGGGAACCCAGTTCAAACAGAAGTCTCAGTTCAGTCTCACTCACGCCTGTCCGTCTCCGGTCACAGAAGGCGTCCCGGACACCTCTCTGGTTTTCCGCAGCTGCGCTCCGCTGTCCTCCATGCAGGAGTCGCAGCCCCAGACCGCAGACATCTCCGCCGTCAGCAGGTTATACGCCGTCTCCGTCATCCCTGTGCAGACTCTGTGGAACCATTTCTGACACGAGGCCTCGCACAGAATGGCCTCTTGGTCATCGTTGACCTCGCTCAGGCATATCCCGCACGGGAAGACGGGCTCGGATGATGAGGACGTCCTCCTTCTGTTCAAGACTTTATTATTGGTCGAAGCTCCGGTTCTGCGTGCGTGACTGACGCCGTTGAGTTTTCCCGCTCCCCCGTCCTGTCCGCTCGCTCGGCCCTTCGTCTTCGGCTCCGGCGTGTTGTCCTGAGGATTGTTCTCTTCACAGTTTTGACTCTGCTTGCGTGGCGAGGGGTTCTGCGTGGCGTTATTGCTCACGGCTTCACTCGGGTCCTGTTTAGGCGCTGGTGAGCCGGACTTGGTGAAGTTATTTAGGTTTGGGCTCATATCCCGAGCTGGACCGAAACCCGGAGCAACTTCAGGACTCCCGCATTGGTTGAGATTTTGAAGTGGGATCTGATTGACATGCTCTGATCTGAAGTGGATGCGGTTGTTGTTTCCGCCACCAAACGCCTGCCCGTAATGCGGGTTCTCCGCATGACCGTAGGTAAATCCCGGTACACGGTTGAAAACCACGGGCTGGTTTCGCATCTGGTAAGGAGGCCCGTAGGGAGAAGGCATCCTTTGGGGCATTTGGGGGGCCATCCTGGGCGGCCCATAGCCACTAAACCCTGGGTAATGCGAGTGGCCAAAATAAGGGTTAGCAGGAGGCAGCGGCTTCAGAGATGGCGAGTTGTAATTGTCATCGAAAGGATTGGCAGCGATTAGGTGATCTGAGCTGGTGTTTGGTGGAGGAGCATATTCAGACAGGGGAGAGAAGGACGGCACCTGTCGAGAAAGAGACTTTTATTTTCACTTCTGAATATGAATCAAAACCTCTGATGCACACTGACAAAGAGCTCCATATTTACAGATATATGCTGTTCTTCTAGATGTTGCTAAACACATCGAGACCATGAAATGCCCATGAAAAGCTACTTCAAAAAATAGGGGTTGGAAAGTTTTTTGAATGTTTTTGAGTCTCTTCTGCTCACCAAGACTGCATTTATTTGATCAAACATACAGTAAAAACAGTGAAATTATTACATTTTAAAACAGCACTTGGGAACGCTTTTGGGAACGCCCCCAGCGTCATTGATGCATCGTCTCATTCCCTTTCTCAGGGAACTATGGTTACAGTCGTAACCTGAGACGTTTATTCCTGTGATCAAAGCTGAATTTTCAGCGTCATTAATCCAGTCTTCAGTGTCTGCATTTATATGATTAAAAATACAGTAAAAAAAGTAATATTGTGAAATATTGTAAAATTACACTTCAAATGGTAATTTATTCCTGTAATCAAAGCTGAATGTTCAGCATCATTACTCCAGTCTTCAGTGTCACATGTAAAATGTTGAAAACCACTTAATCATTTATTCAGGATTCTTGAACAAACAGAAAGTTGAAAAGAACAGCATGTGTTTGAAATAGATGTCTTTTCTAACATTATAAATGTCTTTAGTGTCACTGTTGATCAATTTAATGCATCCTTGATAAATTTTGTTAAAAAAAAATCTCCCGGGCCCCAAACGTTTAAAAGGGAAATGTAGTTCTGGAAGCAAAGATGCCTGACTTCACTTGAAAAGAGTTTCATACAGTACCTGTGTGCTCGACTTGCGTCTCTTTTTATCAGGGATTCCCAGTAAGCCTCCTAAACCCTCCAGCCCACCTTCAGCTCCTGTAAAGTCATAAAGTGAGTTGAAATAAAATCATCCTCTAAAATATTTAAAGTCAATCCAATACATATTTTGTCTATAGCACTGTTCTTGTGACATAAGGTCCCCGACTCCCCGTATAAAGGCTTGATGGACAGTTTGATCGGTGGTTACACTTTATTTTACAGTGTCATGGTTACATGTAGAGTAATAACGATAAATTATGCATAATTACATTCAACTAAACCCTACTCCTGACCATAAGTCTATGGTAAGTACATGTTTTAAAGTAATATTACTCAGTTACAGTACTTAAATTTATAAGTGTAATTATACATTTAAGTATGGAGTAATATTAAGTAACTACATGTACTTACTATAGGGTTAGAGCAGGATTGAGGTTTGGTTATAGTGACTACATGTATGACACTGACACTGTAAAATAAAGTGTTACAGTCTTACACCAATATTACATTAGAAAGTTACAACAATAACTGTTGTTAAACATGTTTCGTTAGACTTTAAAAACTAATTGGGTGACATTTTCAAAAAAAAAAGTCATAATAAACCATAATGATAATGATGTAGGCTAACCATTGCTATCATTTTCACTACCTTCTTGTAACTTTTAACTTTTGTGATTTTTGCTTTTTAATGTTACTTCATAGACATGTCATTACCAGTTTTACTGTTGCATGCTCTATTGATGTGCGTGTAATAAATAAAAGTGGATTTATGATTTCTCTCGAATTGCTTATCAAACTTCCCCAAAACTCCCAGTAAAGTAGCGTTCATCTGACAGCCTTCACTTTGAGGCCTGGCATGTTTCCTTCTCGGAAGCATGCATATCTAAATATGTCGCAGTCTACTTTTCTGTTCTTCCCCAAAGGCCTGAAGGCCGACCTCTGCTGTCGCTCCGGCAATTACCACCGACACCGAATCAAAGCCTATAAAACACGGAAAATCCACGTTACCTCGGTTTCGTTTTAGAGAGAATGAATCTTTATCCTGCTCTGTGGACATTACAAGCTCCCTCACATGACTCAAACGGGAAAATGGCGCAACTTTGATGTCAGAAAGAGTGATTGTAGTCAGTCAACTCGTCTCGTTCTTCCCCCGTTTCGCTGCAATCACGGCGGCGGCGACGCTCCGTGCGCGACCGGTGTTGTGCTATTCTTACTATGGCGAAGGTTTCACTATTAATATTCATGAGCTGTCAACCGTCGCCATTTGAAGTGTAGCAATGACGTCGTCGAAATCTATTTAATATTGATAAGACAAAAGGTGCATGAATGATGCATCCCAATTCGCGAACTTATGCGTACTGTTTTGTAATATAAATAGTTCAACTAGTGTTCACTGAAAATTACAAATGGAAAAAGTACACTTTAAATACCCGGATGATGCACTTAATTAACCGATGTAATGTTGAATGACAAAATAACCTTAGCCTATACACTGCACTGTGTTGAGTGCAAAGTGCATAAGTAAATTGTGTATAAGTGCATAGATAGAAGTCGTTATACAAGTGTATAGTGCGTCATTTGGGACACACTTCCGCAACGGTCTCAGAGCTCATTAATATTAAAGAGGACGTCATAGTTAACGTCAGCTCGGCCTCATTTATATTCAAAGGCTAAGCCTTCGGCATAGTAGTTTCGGTAATTCCGCGAGCAGGAAAACTGCACCCGTGTACAAAGTTTGGGAGGAGCGGACACCTTTGACTTGTTGTTTTAAGGGGCAGTTCACGGAAACGGGTTACGGGCGACTCCTCCGCGTGTGTTAGTTTACTTTAGAGCGATATATGTAAAGGCTGAGTGAAAAGCGGCGCGTGAGGCGGGACTGTCGGTGGGTAGAGTGCGCATGCGTGAGCGCAGATTCCCCTCTTCATCAAAGCACGTGTGTGTGTGTGTGTGTGTGTGTGTGTGTGTGTGTGTGTGTGTGTGTGTGTCTGAGGCATTGACTGTAAAGAAGTACATATTTTTATTCAAGTCTATATCTTTTCATTGCCAGGTCGCCGTTGTAAATGAGAATTTGTTCTCAATCGGCCTACCTGGTAAAATAAAGGTTAAATAAAAAAATAAAAATGTATCAAAAATATATTTTTCGCTGCCCAGGACCTCCTAAAACATCCAGCCCACCTTTACCTCCTGTAAAGTCAAAGAGTGAGTCTAATATTGCGTTTAATGTAACACGGCATGTGAGATGATAATGATCATTCGCAGATTGAATGTTATTCTATTAGAATAGAAAGTGATGAAGTTTTCATTTACTTTCTTATGTATGTGTGTACACCAAAATATAATATTCTTTTTAATGCTTTTGAAATAAGTATCTTTTCTTAACATTACAGCCTGCGGGGCGGGCTCATCAAGCCTGTATTTATTTGATAAAAATACAGGAAAGAAAACAGTAATATTGTGAAATATTACAATTTAGAACAAGGTTTTTCTATTTGAATATAGGCTACTAAAATGTATTTTATATCTGTGACTCAAAGCTGAGCTGAATTTTCAGCATCATTCCTCGGTCTTCAGTGTCACATGATCCTTCAAAAATCATTCTAATATGCAGAATTTTTTTTTTATCAACATTGGAAACAGATGTGCTGCTTAATATTTTTTATAACCTGTGATACTTTAAGATTTTTCAAGATACAAACTTTTGTCCAGTTCTATGCATACAGTACATTGTACGCTTTTCTAAATACTAACGCACTAACTCAGAATTACACACACACACATTTATATAATTCTTTGAAAGATTTTTTTGCATTCTTAGCAAAGACCCCAAATAAAATTCTTCAAGAGAAAAGAGACAACATTTGATACTTTTTAACATTTTTATTTAAACTGGAAATTTGTAAAAACAATCTTATTTGTGGTGTTGGGGGGAGGGGATCTACAGTAAATGTATACCTTTTTTGGCATAAACATTACACCGTATTGCCGAACATGAAAACAAGGTACATGTTTTTGAAAAGCACAGCATAAGATTAACAAGTGGAATTTTATTTATTAAGAAATACATTCAGTTTTAAGGCGTATAGAAAGATTTACTGCTGCAGTGCAATGGAAACTCACAGGAGCGAAACATTCACTGCTTTCAGAAGAGGTATCAAAGCTCTCCCTTTTCCCCTTCAATTTAAGCAAATTCAAAATAAAACACTTCAACAGAACAATGCAGAACCGAATTCATTCAAAAATCAAGAGAGTTTAAGCAAGTGCAGTTCACATCAGCACTAAATAAAGTGACATGAAACTGGATTTCCTGAGTAAAATCACCTCAGTGAGGATAGAGCACAACTGGACATGCGACCTGAGAAGTTTTAATCTGGCATGAACAGAGGTCATCTGTTTGGACGCATAATATGCTGTGAGGAAGAAACCTCTGACATATTTTATGACGCTGCATTTCTAAATTGTTGTGAATCAGCTAAAGAACTGATGCATAGAATTACACTTGCACACACACACACACAAAGAAAAGTCAACAATTGAACACAACAATCAATATTGTTCTAAAACACTAAAGCATATTCAAATTTATATCAAAAACAACAATTCAGGCATCAGACGGCAACAGTGTCGGCCCAGATCCGGCCCACATCCGGTACATGTGGATTCAAGGCGAATCCGGATCTGGGCCGACACTATGTTGCTGTGTGGGTTGCCGAAAAAAGCTTAAACAAGCATTTTCTCCCTTGCTCGGGCGTGTTTTTAGCCACTAGTCAGGCTGGAAGACCAGCTAGACCAGTTTAAACCAGCTTTGAGAACTTCCAAGCAGGGAAAAACCAAATATTAAGTCAGTATTTTCACAGAATATGGGGTACATCATCCCAAAAAAAACATAGAAAAACAATAAAATATTTCTCCTCCAGTGAGAAAAGTCATAAAAGGAAACAAAAGGCATGAAATCCATCATCTTTGGTTTAATTGAAAGTCATAAACGATTGAAAACACGGCCGCGTAACACTGTTTTTGGTTTCCTGATGTCTTTCAGTACGTACAGTAGAAATCAAATCTACTTAGTATAAAGCTTTGTAACAAGTGAAAAATGACAAAACACCATGCAAATGAATCTCTAATAATCATCCGTGCAACGGTGACGACATTCTTTGGTTTCAGGCTGTTTGCTTTGAAAATATATATATATTTTTTAAACTGATTGTGTCTCTCTGATTGAAATGCATACAGTAGCCAATCAATTTCCCCTGATTGAGAAGAATTTCAGCCACATGGAATGTTTATTAATATAATATAATAATATCTCTCTCTCTCTGTATAATGTTCATGTACAATAATAACATCCATGTTGAACGTGAAATTCTAATAAGGGAATCTGATAACTGCGACATTTGATTTAAGGAGGTGAATCTCATAAAGCTCATCTAGTTAATATTTCACTTTAAAAGAAAAAGAATTCTTCTTTTGCATCGCCAAATTTATTTTCATGACAATTAAACCATCCATTTATAATTATATGTTGTTAAAGAGATTATGTGCTTAATTGTCCTGATAATAATGTGGTCTGAAAATAAGTTTCATGTTTCTTATGCAAAACTGAATTTCTTATTTTTCCTCTTGATTTTCGAGTGAAATATGACACCTCATTTGATCGCAGGACCTAAAGCAGCCCTTTTTCCGTTGGTCTCTGGGTGAAATATCTTTGGTTTGATTCAAGGATAAACTCATTGTCATCTCTTCATCCCAAAGACCAGCAAACACAAAAAAACAAATGAAAGCGCAAACAGTCCTGCGGATGATGGCGTGTCACCGTTGCACATTAAACACCTCGAAACTAACCTGAAAGAAAAGTGCTACGCTCATGTTCCTACATCTAAAATAGCATCAACTATTTCAAAGCACGACTAAAGTAACTAAAATGTGTGTACTCAGTAGTACATATACTGTATATCAAGAAAAATAGATATCTTTTGAGGCAAAAAGGTTTCATGATCAGTCTACTATGGAAGCTTGTTTCCACCACTGAATAAAATTAAAAAAAAATAATAATAATAATTGCGACTTTTTATCTCACAGTTGCGAGATATGAAGTCAGAATTGCAAAGTATAAAGTCGCAATTCTGAGAAATAAAGTCGCAATTGCGAGATATTCGCAATTCTGAGAAATGAAGTCGCAATTACGAGATATAGTCGCAATTCTGAGAAATAAAGTTACAATTGCGAGATATACAGTCGCAATTTTGAGAAATAAAATCGCAATTGCGAGATATTAAGTCGCAATTCTGAGAAATAAAGTCGCAATTGTGAGAAAAAGACCGAATTGCGACTTTTTATCTCACAATTCTGACTTTATATCTCGCAAATTTGACTTCATAACACGCAATTGTGACTATATCAATCAATTCTGACTTTATATCTTGCAATTCTGACTATATCTCGCAATTCTGACTTTATAACACGCAATTGCGACTTTATATCAATCAATTCTGACTTTATCTCACAAATCTGACTTTATATCACGCAATTGCAACTTAATATAATGCAATTCTGACTTTATAACACTTAATTGCAACTTTATATCACGCAATTCTGACTTTATATCTCGCTGACTTTATATCTTGCAATTCTGAGAAATGAAGTCAAAATTGTGAGATAAAAAGTCGCAATTACCTTTTTTATTTTCATTCTGTGGCGGAAACAAGCTTCCATAGTCTACTCTTAAGATTTGATAATTATTTTTGGTTTTCTAGAACAATCGTTCGACTGCAATCACCCGAATCTCCTGATGGTGTATCCGCGGAGCTCTACACACATTAAGGCCATTATTTAAAGCTATCGGTTTTGCTGAACTAAGAAACGTCAGTTCGAGCATTTTTGGTTACTTCGTACTTAACAGAAGAAGACAGGAAGAAATGAACTACGGACAAGGAAATCCATCTCCACAACAAATCACACACATTCATTACGGGTCAACCGCCCTTGGACTCGAGGAAGATACCCTGTCGATCAAACCATGTGACTACAAAACGCATGGCTTTTCAAATGATTCCTGAGATAAAGCAAATAAAAACACAACTACTTCTAAAAATCAAAAGGTAAAATGAGGTAGTATAAAACAGGGACTATAAGAGCAAAAATACACACATTCATATGACGCAATCACAAATACTCACGTAAACGCTCAATTCAAAGTTGGACGTTTCTGAACCTGAGGTAGGTATAAGACACCATCCTAACCATGCGTGACACAATAAATCTGGGAGAAAGTTTGATGAGAGGTTTGATAGCCCCGCCCACCGTGAAATCCTATTGGTCCTGCATATTAAACACCAACTATGATCTGATTGGCTGTAATTGTGTTACAGGAGATTCAAGAGAGCTGAGCTGGGTAGCTCCGCCCACCATGAAATCCTATTGGTCCTAAGCCCTGCATATTAAACACCAACTAGGTTCTGATTGGCTGTGATTGTATCACAGCAAATTCAGGAGATTTGATGAGTGTTGAGCTGGGTAGCTCCGCCCACCATGAGATTCTATTGGTCCTAAGCCCTGCATATTAAACATCAACAATGTTCTGATTGGCTGTCATTGTGTTACACAGCAGATTTGTTGCATCACGCCGGGTCAGAATAGGCAAAACACTTTTGCAATCCCAAACTTCAGGACTAAACAAACAATAAACACAGACTCAGCGAAAAGGAAAAAAAAACGTTGTCGAGTGTATAAGTGGATTTTAAATATTTAGTAAGTAAACTGAGGTAGATTAGTAAGTTAAGAGAGGCTTGCCTCTCTCGATGAGGTTACGTCTGAATATGCGACGGTCGCGTTGCACATTTTTGGACGTTTTTTTTTTTTTTTGTAACACATTCATGGTGGGTGAGATTCTACTTTCATTCAGACACACAATCATTTATAAAAATTGAAAAGAATAAGAGAAACAAATAATACATTCACCGAGAAAGCGGAGCATGTGTGAACGTCTCGGGTCGTCCACACAAATCGCTCAGTAGTCCGTTTGAACAGCAGGGGGCGCCAGAGAACACAAGGGTTTTTGCTAAACAGGATGAAGCTCAATCATTTCCTGTTGCTGAACTGTAGTTTCCGTCACGTCGGCCATCGGCCTCGTGTGTTTCTCTGTGAGCTCATCCGACGGCTCGTCCTGCAGGGAAGCCGGGCGACTGTGGACACCCAGAGACAGGTTGGTCGCCTCCGTGTCGTCGTGAGAGAATCGTCCCGAGTCGCCCGTCTCATGACTGCCCTCGCTGGAGTGTGAGCCCTCGCTGTCGCCTCCCGTTGGCTCAAACAGGCCCTGCAGGGACGACGGCGGGTGTCGAGGGGATGTTTCCGTGTAACACAGCAGGGTGGTTCCCTGATGATAGGAATATGAAGGACTGGAGACCTTCTTCACATCCTGATAAGAGCAGAAATCACCAGTAAACAACAGAGACCGAAGGAGGCTTAAAGATACAAACCGTTTTGAAACTGCAGTGACATTTAAGAGCACTAATGTGGGTGAATCTCACAAACCTCAATATATTTCACCCCAAAAGCATGGTTAACAGATATAAAATTACGGTTTGCTTTAAAGGGAAGCCTATTTTAATTTTGTATTAGTTGCTTTTACATTGTTTTCAAGGCATTCACAGTATATTTCCCTCAGATTCTCATTACTGTAATGTTAAAAACTGATATATTATTTAAATGTATTAAATTAAGACATATTTTTCTCATTAAAATGTAATGTTTATATTTCCAGATTTAGATAAATTTGTTAGATTTAGTATTAAGTTGCTTTTTGCTTTTGTCATTTTATTCAGCTTTCAACTACTATAAAAAACTATATATATATATATATATATATATATATATATATATGAAGAGTTCAGATGCAAAAGCCTCTAAATGCCATTTGAAATGTTCTTCTTTAATGAGGATTTTTATCAAACTTGTATATTTAAGTTCAGTGATTTCACTTAAATAACAATTAATAGATAATTATCATTGCCATTTAAGTGAAATCACTGAACTTAAATATACAAGCTTGATAAAAATGACCATTCTAGAAGAAAATTTCAAATGGCACTTAGAGGCTTTTGCATCTGAACTCTTCATATATATATATATATATATATATATTAAAATATAAGTATTAAATTACAAAACCTATGTTTTGTAATTAAATGGAATATATATAATATTTTAAATAATCATAATAGATATTTAATGAAGTCATTTCATATTTCTGTTCCTGGAGTTTTTGTGAGATTCATTCGGGATTGACGTCATGTGGGTGTTGAGCGTTTCTTACTAAATAAAATAAAGCTAATAAATAAAACTCATTGTAATTTGTAAACCATTTCATACATTGTCATCCTTCTTAAAGAAGCTCCATCTCTTCTTTTTCTTCTTCTCAACGGTGTGCTTCACTGGCCCATAACTGTTAATGATCAGATTTGTTCCACCCTAAAACATTGAAATACAAACAATGCTATAAACACACAGATATATTTATGAAAGATTGGCAGGAATGTGTCGTTTTAAACACACCTTTGCATCGATGAAATGATCTCTCATCATGGGCATCATCACCTCCACACTCTCAGCTTGACTCTCATTGGCTAGTCGGGCCACAGTGGGCGGAGCTTGTCCTTCTGCTTGCCTGATTGATTTGTCAGTGCTGGATTTCCTGTCATGAATAATGCAGTCATCAACTGACATTTCTAAATACCCAATAATTTACGATAATTACCAAACCAGACTCTCTTTTTTGGATCATACTATATATAGTGTTTATTAATATTCTGAATTAGCTTTTGTTTTTATATTTTCACTTTTCATTTTAGTTCAAGTACGTTTTAATAATTCTGCCATGTGCTTTTTGTAAAACTTTACAATAAGTTTTCATTAACATTATTATTTTATTATTATTAATATTTTTTTGAAGATTTAGAATTTCGAATTTTAGAACTTAGAATTTTAGAATGCCCTGAAATAAGTTTGAGAATGACTTGTAATAGTTTCAGTTGGCAGGTGTTCAGCTGCTCTCTCTTACCTGGTTTTACTCCTGTAGGCCAATATGAGGATGCAGATGATAATGCAGATTAAAGCGATACACACACCCACTGCTATACCCGTCATCGACCTCTGATCCAGGCGATAGAAACCATCAGAAAACGCTGTTGGTGGAGCACAGAAACAGTATTAAAGATGACGCCAAGTCTTGCATTGTGCGTTCATTCAACCGATGGATTACATGTGAGATCATGTATTTTAGCGCTGTCTATAGACCCTTTATCAGTTTTTTTATGTGGGCGGAGCTTAGTTGGAGGCAGAACGATCCCTCTTGAAAAGCTAATTACTATTGGACAGCGATGATACAGAAATATACAGAGCGACCGCAAAAAAGGAAGTTCAAAGACAATATTCTAAAAATATTCTCGTTTCTCTGGCGCATAAGGTCTATAGAGAGGGCCCTGAGAGAGTAACACACCTGTGGCGTGGGAGGAGCCGTGTGTTCGGGGGGCGTGTCCGTCACGCACGGTCACTTCGGCAGCAGGTGAGAACGGCCCATCTCCCATCTGATTGGACGCTGAGACCTTCACCAGGTACACCTGACCAGACTGAAGATTCTCCAGCAGGGCCATCGTGACGCTCCCTGGCAACGAGACGGTAAGGTGAACGTTATTATCCAAAATAATTAATACACCTATTAATAATTTTAGATCATCGACTCGAAAACCCTGCAAACCTTTTAGGGAAAACACTGCTATGCAAATGATTGAATATCACAAACAATTAAAAAAAGATAATATTTTACATAAAGAAAATAATGAATAGTCAAATTAGCACATTTACCAAATGTTTTTTTTTACTTTAAAATCAGCAAAAATTCAATAAAATAAAAACTACCATATATATATATATATATATATATATATATATATAATAAGCATAAATACTTAGGCATAGAAACAATTTTCAAGTAAATTACACATTTACAAAGAAACGGCATTTGACACATTTAATTAAACGTGAGATTTTGAATTAGAAAGATTGAAATTGTTTTTCTTGTAAAACGTACTCTATTAAAATGCACATCGATTCTTTCTTTTAGTAGACAATAACTTTATTTGTTCCTTAAAACTTTCACATTCACAAACAGCAATGAAAAGTAATATTCAAAAAAGCATAATAGTGGCACTTTAATCAGCGCAAAAACTTAGATGAGAATCATTACATTTAAAAAAAAAAACTTTATGCTAAATATAATTTCTGTAATATGACACGTGTGAGATTCGCTCGTGACTCGTGAGACTTCACGTGACACCACAGGATCAGAGTTTTACTGGAGGCGAAACCCCGTCAGCACTGCATCAGGTTATGTGCCCGACAGACTCAGGGTGTCAGGGTTAAAGGTCAAAAGTTTAGTGATGGTATCGTACAACACCTGAAGCAGCAGCACATGTCTATGAGCGTGGCGGTGTGATTTATGCGGTTTAGTAACTGAGAACAGAAGACATGCGTGCGGCTCCACAGTTCTGCTCATAAAGACTCGTTCAAGCGTTTACAGTCTGACGTGCATTTAGACCTACAGTAATAAACACTGAGCTGTGAGATGTCCTTTAATATTTGTTTATATTTAGTAATAGTTATTTTCTAACACCATGTCAGCAGCAAGGCAAGAATAAAGGGAATAACAGAAGTCGTACAATTAATAAAAAACATAAGTATAAGAATAAGATTTAATTCTAAAACTGATATATTTTTAAATGCATTTTTTTTTGGTAAAAATATTGATTGGTCAAATATAATTAAAATTATATTATAATTCTAATACTTTTTTCTACTTTGAAAAAAAATGTAGAAACCATTTCTCTCATATATTTCTGGTACATTTCACAAGAAATGACAATTAACGTATTGAACATGAAATTTTGAAGTTGTAAAACACAGTCCATTAACCTTTGAAAAATATTTATCATCGTATAAATACATTAAGAATCATATTTGTTTGCATTGCATTAATAAAAAAAAATTGTGTTTTTGTGTTCTTTTGATTTTGGGCTGAAACATGACAGACATGCTCTTGACAAATTTTGTTTATATATATATATATATATATTTATACACACACACACACACACACACACACACACAGACTCTCGTATCTAATGCTAATAAATAGAAGGATCAATTTTATAGGCATTACTGTTACATTTTTTTGGGGGAGGGGATATTTAATTTTTTTTTTAATAAGTCTTAGAAAATAATAAATAATAATTACTAATATTATATGAATATATATATATATATATATATATATATATATATATAAATAATTATATATATATAATATATAATTATATATAAAATAAAATATTATATATTTTTATTATTATAAAAACAATGCAGATGGATTCAGAAATGTCCATTTATTTAGGTCTAATTCAGTCATGCCATAGATGAGCTACTCAGCTCAGGATATCATAATTTGCAAACATGAAATGATACTGACCACCAAGAGAAGAGACACACACACACACTAACCCTCCCCTAAACTTACCCATCACACAAAACTTTTACATTTTCAAAAAAACTCTTTCTGTGTGATTTACACAGTTTTTGAGATCCACAGTGATACTAGTCCCCATGAGTCTGTGTGCATTCAGGTTTAAGTCCTCACCGGGATAGAAAAACATGTACACACTCTCTCTCACACACACACACCTTCTCTTTGCAGGATCTGCCACTCTCCGGCGGCCCAAGCTCTGCGTGATGCGTACAGGATGGTGTAGTGTGTGACGGCCATGTTGGGCTCATCCGGAGGCTTCCACGACACCAGAGCCGAGTCTCCCTCGATCAGAGTCACTTTCAGCCCGGCCGGAGCTCGACTGGGGGCTGATCGGACAGACAAACCATCAAAATCTCTTCTTTTTACCTATTCTCCATTTAAAAAGCCTCTTTAATAATCACATTTTTGTCTAATGTTTACCTTCAGGAAGTGTGGTCTGGTAAACCACAGGACTCCATGGGCTGGAAAGCTGATCCACATGAAGACGAACTGCAAACTCATAATTGGTGTTCGGGTCCAAATCACTGACCATCAGACTCTGGTCCGCACTGCAGGAACACACACCACATGTTGGACGATGTGTCGCAAATGCACACTACGCTTTTATACTGTGTCCTCAGCAGTGTAGTGGATCAACTTTATTAGGTTATTTAATAAATAGTCTTACAGCCCGGGTATTTATAGTAGGGGGTGTAACAATATATCGCAAAATGCAACAATATGAGTCATGGATAGTGACAATATGTATTGTGTTTAGTTCACCCAAAAATTTTCAGAGATTAAGTGTCAGTTCTACATTAAACTGCTATATATAATCAGTGGTGGAATGTAACGAAGTACAAATACAAGTAAATTTTTCACGTATCTTTACTTTACTTAAGTAGAATAAATAGTGCATACTTTTTACTTTTACTTCGTTACATTTTGCAGCAATTATTCTACTTTCTACTCCACTACATTTCTACAACTTCTGTTACATTTTCTGATCAGTTTTTCCCCTGCCAAAACGTAATCTGAACGCCCGTTCGTTGCACGTTTGTCTCACCAGTGACGTTTGGTTGCCATAGATACATCAACTAAATGCGTCTCGCACGCAATGTGTTTATCGTGCAATTTATACGCGAAAATTTGTTTTTACGTGCATAGGAAACACACCGTGTGTATTTATTTATTTTTTTTGCCTCATTTTTTTTTTTATGGCAAGCAAAGAGGTTCAGAATTACACCATAAATTAATCGCGTCTACTGCCAAACATAGTTATTAACATATAGTAAGGATAAGCATGGTTTATATTGCCTAATTGCAAGCTTGTTTCAGAAATAGTGACAACATTTTTTTCCATCATTATTGAACATCATTATAGGAGTATTAGGTTCAATGAGTTAGAATGAAATGTTTGTTATGAATTGTTGTGCAATGAATTGTTATGCAAGTACTTTTAATTTTAATACTTAAAGTACATTTAAAATCAGGTACTTTTTACTTTTTACTTAATTACGGTTGTCATTGTGTTACTTCTACTTTTACTAAAGTAAATATTTATCTGGTTATTTGTACTTTTACTTAAGTACTGAGATTCAGTACTTCCTCCACCACTGTATATAATGCAATGGGGGAATATGTATGGGTCCTGATAATGCCAAATGTCTTGTTACCAGTAAAAAGTGCCCTACATTATTTACATATATCTAGTCATATATGTATGACTTAGATATATGTATGTATGCCATCATACAAGACCCTTATTCATCGTCTGTAATCGTTTAAAGCCCTTTGAACAGTTTGTAGTTTGCACTGAAACCTTGAACCGTTTGGTCCCCATTGAAGTCCATTATATGGAGAAAAATCCTGGAATGTTTTCATCAAAAACCTTAATTTCTTTTCGACTGAAGAAAGAAAGACATGGACAAAAGTATTTTTTTTACTACTCCTATACTCACGTCTGCAGGTACAGCACCAGCGAGGCGTTCTGCAGTCCCACAGGGTTACAGCGGACCGTGTAGTTGACCGTCTGTGCGCTGGTGAAGGCGGGCCGGGCCCAGCGCAGGAACACAGAGGAGGAGGAGTTACTGAGGGCGTACACGTGATGAGGTGGAGGAGGGGGCGGGACCAGACGATCGCGGACCGCTGCAAACATGCAAACACAACAGGCTTGTTTGAGATGAGCAAAATCCACGCAGAACCGATCAGCGCGAGACGCATGTCAGTTAGAAACGTGTCCGAGTGCGGATCGACTTGCTCTGATGTCATGCTGACGTATGTCAAAAACCTCGCGAGCGCAAGTCACCGACTGCACTGATCAAAAGCACTTGCTGACGACACAGCTTAATGCTGATTGGTTAAACAACCGTGATGTATAGTTCTCTTTTAAAGGGGTGATGAACTGAGAAATCTAATTATCTAAGAGGTCATCATATTATAAGAATATCCTGTAAGTTTCAGATCTGAAAACGTCCTTGTTAGTCCAATAAAAGCTTTTATTGGCACCAGGCTCAGCAAACGACTCGTTTTTCAAAGAGGATAAAACCCCACCCCCGCAGAACAAGATCAACGCCTACTCATTATAATATGCAAAACTGTTATCCAATCACAGCAGTGGGCGTTTACTTCCAAGTCTTCAGTGCGAGACGCCCATAAAAACAGAGTGTTTTTGAGCTAGGGTCAAATCTAGGGTTAAAAATAGCCTATTATAGGGTTGATAAATAGCCTAATACTGTATTTTATTTTTTTCATAATTTTTATTTTTCATTATTTCTTATTTTTTATTCTAAACTGTTTTAATTATTCTGATTTCTTTTTCTTATTTTAATTTCTTCCATGTAAAGCACTTTGAATTGCCATTGTGTATGAAATGTGCTATATAAATAAACTTGCATTGCCTTGCCTATTACTTATTCATTTTGATGTTTTTTTTTAATGCAAAAACCAAGTGAACGTCAAAAGTTGACCTCAGACAACAATATAATAAAATGTAAAAAGCCAGTTCATGACCCCTTTAAAATGTTTGATTTTAAAACTCTGATTTCATGTGTTATGTGTGAATATTCCCAAACTCTCTGACAGTGTGATCTGTATGGGATATGCAATATAAAAAAAAAAAAATTTGACCATTAAAGAAAAAATGATTGATAAACACGTATTTGGAATGGAATTAAATAAGTACTTTGGGTGTCTTGTTCATTGTATTATATTTATAACAAGCCTAACATGTTCCAATGTCCTTGATTGTCTCTCTCACACCACATCGTTATGTTTTGTCATCACCAGCCTAATTACGTTCAGCAGTCACCGTCATTAACACCTGTGTGTATGTTCAGTGTCGTCAATATTGAGAGTTTGTCTGTTGAATCTCTAGTTACATAAACCTTTGAATTGGATATTACGTCTTCCAGCAAACACCCGTGACCTTAATCATGCAATTATTATAGTTTAAAAAGATTTTGATTTTTTATTTGATCAAAAACACTGAAATTTTTTGAAATATTATAATCTCACATAGCTGTTTCTAAGTGAATTTATTGTGAAATGTTATTTATTCCTGAGATCAAAGCTGAATTTCACATGATCCTTGATCATTATAATTTGCTGCTCAAGAAACATTTCAAAATTATTATTAATGTTGGAAACAGTTGGAAACCATGATACATATTTTTGCAGGATTCTTTGATGAAGAAGAACAGTCTTTACTGCTACTATGCTTTGTATGGATGTAATTACTACGAATAAAGCTAAATGAATCTTAAACCTATATCCCTGTTTGTAACAAATGGCATGAATGTGTGTGTCGCTGAACTCACAAACACATCCCGGTGTGCTGATGGTCTGGTCCGCCTGGTACCCGTCACCCATGAAACTATAGGCCAAGAGTTTGACATGGTACTTCTTTCTGGGGTCTGTAATAAAGAAAGAGTTAAATATATAACATGTGTGTATGTAAAAATGCAGAAGAAGATTCCTGTAATGCACAAATCAGATTTTCAACAGCAGTTTCTGTGTGAAAGAGAAGCACGTGTGTAACAGCAGATGTGTGAGATCAGCTGAAGTGTGTGCATTAGATAGCGGTGTCGTGTGTTTAGCGTGTGTGCACGTGTGTATAATCAGCAGCAGATGCCCTGAGCTGGAGGTGCTGGTCAGTGAGTTAGCGGTCCATCCTCAATACAAAAGACGAGTGTCCCTCCCCCGTTGGGTTCACCCATCTGCCGGCACACCCCCACTGACTGACCGATGACCAGCGGCCGAAACCCATTCACAACCAGGCCAGAGGTTAAATCAAACACTCAAAGGCCATGGGAAACACACACAGACACAGAGAAGTCAGTCACATGACCAAAACCAAAACCTCAACGATCACAAAGAGACCAGGATATTCAAATGACATTCAAGAATCACATCAAAGCAATATTAAAAAGTGCAACAACAACAAAAAAAATTTTTTTTTTTGCATTTATTAGACATTAAATTCTAGAGCCATCTCTAGTCAAGGAGATATTAAAAATTAGACTGGATAGCATAAGAAAAAACAGAGGTTTTCGGGTCTGGAAATAACTAATTTTCGTGACATTTCCAGGTTTTTCATGAGCTCTGCCACTTAAAAAACTAATACAACACAGTATTAAGCATCCTAATCTAGCTTTATCAGGCTCACAATATGCAAAACTAGTATATATTATTTAACCATAAAACCGTATAATGGACAAATGTGGGCAAAATAATTTTTATTTATTTTTAAAAAATACTTTATACAAGACTTGGCTACTTTTCCTAAGTTTGCCTCCTGAACACAATTTTTCTTTTGACTCAATTCTACAATATTAAATGGGTGGGAAAAAAATCCTCCTTAATGTTGTATTTGGGTCTAAAATGGGCACCCATAGAAATAAATGGGAAAAACTGTCATTGAGAGCACTCTAAAATAAGCCAAAATAAGACACCAGGTGACAGCAAAGTCACTTCATCTTTAGGTTTTAGCTCGAAGAACTTATTGGAATGATATTTTAATGTAGTTAAACATTTTTTAAAAAAATAAAACATAAAAATAAGCATAATTTACATAGAAAATATGGTACTTTTTGAAGGAAATAAATTCAAAAATACCCCCAAAATAAAAAAAAACACCATAAATGGATAGGCAAAACTTTATCGAAGACAGTGATAAAACATTTATAATAAATAAAAATTAGGATCACACCTGAGTCCTCTGTGCCCACATTTGTCCACAATTACAGGATTAAGGGCTATAAGTTTGAGGGTTAACATTTTGATTGTTTTTATTTTTATATATAATCAATGGTTTGAGTGTGACATCAGTTATTGACACACTGTCCTGTAGTTTTCACTTTGGTCACGTGGTGGCGCTACACAACACAGCTTTAATACTAACATGACTTAACATGTGTTGGGCTTCCTATCCTTAGGGATTACAACTAAACAAATAACATGAACAAATAACGATAGTTTATGAACATGATACAGGGGTGCAAACATACATTTACAGTAATATAATACATATATAGTGAATATTAGTGATTCTTGAAGTTTTTCACTATTATTTAATTGTTTGGCTTTTGTAAAATTCATTTAAAGTCAAACATCAATTATTAAAAGTTCAATATTCAATGAGTCAGCATTATTTTAGTTAGTATTATGTATAATCTATTCATTATTATTATATTTTAGTAGGTTTGTTTTGTGCTTTTGTCATTTTTATTAGTTACTATATAATTGGGATTATCTAAATTTTTCATTTTCATCTAATATTTATATGTTTTATCTATTTTTAACCGAGTTCGTCAATTAACTTGAGGTCTGAAAGGGATGAATAACAATCAAACCAGCAAAATGCAGATTAGACGTGTCAAGTCAGCTGCCCAATTACTGTTCCAGAGAAAACAATGAGCACACTGATAAACTATGATCAGATTAAGGGTTAAAGGCCTAGATATGGATCTCAGACCGCATTAGATTATCCCTGATATTGTTTAAAGCTGGTGTGACTGAAGTGTTGTGGTGAATTATCAGTTCAGACTGATCAATGCACACAGATGACATCACTGGGACTCGGATCTAAATCTTTAGAGGGCGGGGCCAAATACAGCAGCCGTGCAGTGATTGGACGGTTTGGTAATGAGTGTGTGTCATTGAGATGCACAGCTCCGCAGAGGCTCCGTGGAGCCAGTCAGGGGTCAGGGTTCACACACAGATAAAACTCCTCAGGAATCTGGAGTCAGAGGTCAGGCACACAAGCCAGGCCTCTTTCTTCAGGCCGTCAACATTCAGGGAGAGATAAAGAAAGTATTTGGACGGGACGGAGGAATGACACAAAAAACACTTAAAATCTCGTGGAAAGCAAGACGTGCAGGAGTCCACATTCACAAACAAGACCAAGACACTGATAAAATAAATAAATAAAATGCAAATAAAACACATGGTCACGTACATATGTGTGTGTGTGTGTGTAAAAAAAATAAAATAATATATACCGGTACATATATATATATATATATATATATATATACACACACACACATATACTGAAACACATATATATACACAACCGGTCAAAAGTTTTGAATCTGTACATTTTTAATGTTTTTAAAGAAGTCTCTTCTGCTCACCAAGGATGCATTTATTTGATTAAAAAAACAAACAAAAAAACAGTAATATTATTGAATATTATGACAATTTAAAACAGCTGTTTTATATGTGAATATATCATAAAGTGTAATTTATTCCTGTGATCAAAGCTAAATTTTCAGCATCGTTACTCCAGTCTTCAGTGTCACATGATCCTTCAGAAATCACTCTAATATGAGAAACTAATACAAGCAGGAAAAAAGTTTAATGTCAATTTCCACAACAACAACAACAAAAAAACAACAAATTCGCAGGCATTAAAAATGTGCATGTTATCAATGGGACATTATGAAGCCTTGATGCCATGAGAGACAAAAATACTGGCATTCGGTTTGAGAAACGGCCGATGCGAAGCAGCATTTACTCAACAGAAACATGAGACTCCTCGAACACTAAACCCCAAAACCACCACGGACAACCCCAGCACAATAGCCTGGAGATATTAGCCACACAATGAGCTCTGTGTCGTGACCTTTGACACGGGATCTGGGCAAGTCAGATCCTGTCGAGAGGGACGGGGAGACACACACATGCAGGACGAGATGAAGAGTGGATATAACAGCGGCATACGTTCCCTAACGTGACTTGAGGAATCATTTATATCATGAAGTGCTCAATTAAATGCAGAATGTTTTTATTGGATTGATTTAGGCTAGGCCACGCCCCCTTCAATCCCTCTCTGTCCCACCAGGGGGCGTCTCCCACAGTTTTCGTTTTTGAGGTTTATCACATCACTAACAGTAATGGTGATGATCCACAGCAAGAACCGCTATCAGGACCGTTTATGAGCGCAAGTTCAAAAAGTACGGAGAAATCATAAAATATTTATTTATCAAAAATAAATTAGATTTTTGCAATTTCTATCAAATAGAAAACATATCCCAAAAAAATCTGAAAAAGCTTAGAAATTAGTTAGTTAGTTTAGTTTACTTTATTGTCATTCAAACATGTTAGACATGAAGGAACAAAATTCGTTTCCCAGGTCCGGCAGCGTAATACAGAATAAATAACAATTCAATTCTCAGATAAACCCCAATAAAACGTATAAAATATGCAAGGTATCTTATCTTACTATAATGAGAAATACATATCTAAAAACAAACTTTATTTTTACACTGACTGACATGTGTCCAACATTATGCTAGAGCACTGATTGCACTGTATTTTCATGATTTGTAATCACAACATTTTTTCTTTTGTCAAATCAACTTAGATAATTTATGTAGTTTCTAGTGATTAAATCAATCTCCTTCATTGTATTAACTCAATTTTTTCCATTTCAATGAACTTAAAATTTTAAGGCAACCAGGTTACTTACTTTAAGTTAAACCAACAATATTTTTTTACAGTGTATAGCTACAAATTTATTTTTTACTTTTTATCAATATTTTTATTTCTTATGCATCTGTTCTTCTGCTCCGCACACTGCTAAATCAATGAATCAGCTCTCTCTCGTGGATGTCATTTATCCAGGCTAAATGAACGACCCCGTTTTAATTAAAGGTTGAGCACTAGAGGCCATCACCCTGAGACCCTCACGCCACACGAAACATCATGAACGACACGCGCCTGAGGGACAAACAAGCACGAAACATCATGTACGACACGCTCGACGTCTGTGACGTGATGCTCATCGCAGAAATAATTCAGTTTCACAGTGAAGTCTACGGGGTTCACGAGGGTTTAGAGCAGGAATGGGACACTCGCATCATGTCCCGTGAGAACGTTAAAGCCCGTTCACACCAATGATAATAACTATGAAGATATCGTTCTGAATATAAGAGAATAGCAGAGTTCACAGCAGAACTAGTGTAACGGCATTGAGGAACCAACATTTCAGAACGATTCTGTTCCAACTGATGATGAATGATAAAAACAT